ACTCCCCCCCCCCCCGAAAAGCAAAAAAAAAAACCTGATAAATCTAAAACTGATAAATCGAGAATGTGTTCAGAAAAACGGGCATTTTGGGGGCAAAAATATGTTTTTCCCCCCTCTAGAAAAAATCCTGGCGACGCCCACACAATATCCAACCCCACCCCCACTGGCTGCCCCTTCCCCTCCTCTCCTCTGTAGTGAGAACGATGGATACGACGTTGTATAGGCTAAGATCAAACCGCGTTTCATCTAAATTACCTAATTGTACAGTTGGTGTTTACGTCCTTAATGGTTTGGCACCTTGAAAAATCAATGTTCAAATTGACTGGACAATATTCTAGCACAACATTTTTTATGAGCTTTATATAATGAGACATCGCATGAGACAATCGGTCGGCAATAAATACTTAATTTCATTCAACTGTTGACAGCAAGACCTTCCTAATCGGCGCGCAATTTAAAACAACATTTAAACGATATGAATCCCAGCACAAACATAAACCTCCACAATATCAGCGATTTCAATATCACCATCTCCCCTCTATAACAAAAACCATTTCTCCCCATCCCTGGAAATATTTCTCCCCATCCCCGGAAATATTGGTGACATGGTTGACAGGTTTTCCAACTTGATGGGCGTTCCAACTAGCACCCTTCACCCTAGCTAGCCCCTTCCCCTATATTGAAAATATGTCCTGGACCCTCGCACAATCTCCGCAGGAAACGTTATGTGCGCGCACGTTGCTAAACGCAAATACAACTTGGGGGAGACTGATGGCGAGTCCAAATAGGCTCGCGTGCAGCAGAGGGTCTGATTCTTTATTTGACTTAACAGTTGTTTGGAGTTATATTAGAGTTTAAATTATCAAGATTTCATTGTATACAGTAATTATTACGAAACAGTCAACTCCACCCATCTAGCGGGTGCCGCGCGAAGCGCGGCATCCCGCTAGTCTATACTACAATCGCGAAAATGATTCGGGGGCGCTGCCATTTTCCCGACCGGTCTCCCGTCCCCATCGCGCCCGTTGGCCGCGGGGGATGCGGAACGGGGCCCGGCTTTTTCCACCCTATTTTCCCATAATTCCCTTCCCCATTGAGCCGGCCGCGCCGGCCATCTTGCGTATGGCCACGTACGTTCGTTATGAGAGCATGCAGCGTATGGGCCGGATAATTGACGTGCCACGTATACGTTCGTTATGAGCATGCAGCGCATGCAACTTGCCCCACATTTCTTCAGCACAGCGTTGTTGACATGGTTGATGTATCTGTTCCTTGCTCCAGTTTTCTCATTGAACGGTAAGTCTCATTTATGATATATATTGTTGTTTGTGAAAAGTAGTATTCTTTCGAACGCCACTGGCAATGAGAAGCATTGTTGTTTGTGAAAAGTGTGAGTTTGTGAGTGTCCAATGATGGCGTAGTCTGGTGGTAGAACGGGGAGGGTTGTACGGGGAGGGTTGTATGAATGTACGTACGGGGGGAGGCCTCGGACATCGAGAGTTTGGCCGTGGGTTTACTTAGCTAGGCTTAATGTGGCCAATTTACTGCATGACCTCCGTAAATACAGGCCTCACTTGGAACATGTACCCGAACATGTTTGTAGAACTTTGCCAACTTTTGATTTCACAATTGGGCTTTGTTTGTAGTTTGTTTTTGGATTTTGCTTTAGTTTGTTTTAGGCCTAGGCCTATAGGCCTACTAGCTAGAAAAAAATGCTGCATTTGTATATAGGCCATGAAATGTACATTCATTCCATACAAATGATGCAAATTAAATCTTTGTGGTAATCTTAGAACATGGCAAATCATACTCAAAACTTCCTTTAAAGAAATGACTTTCATACTCATAGGCAAAACAAAATTAATTTACTGCAAATCAAAGACCAATAACCAAGTTAATAAAGAAACCCTCAAATCAAAATTAAAGACGTGATCAAGTTCAAACCTCAGGCCAAAAACCAAAAAATACAGGCGAAGACTAAAACTTGAAACCAACACAGTTAGAATAGTGGATCTTAGAGAATACACTCTGGCAGAAAATCAAATGACTCGACAACAGACATGAACCCAAGCAGGATAAAGAGGAAACTAATACATTGATGACTGTTCAGTGTCTCTGCTGTTCTGCTGAGATAAAATCATATGCGGGGGGGGGGGGGGGGGGGGGGGGGTCACTAAAATACAACATATAAGACATGTTTCGTTGTTTGGCATGTTTGGTTAGTACTTCAGTAGTGCATTCCGCATAAATGGGGTATTGCAACACCTGTCTAATTTATTTGTAGCTATTGTTAGCCGATGTATTTGTTTTACAAGTTTTCTTCACCTTAGTCGTTATTCTTTTCTTTCTAACTCCTTTACACAGGACTCCCGATGACACCCACATCACATGACCAGCTCCAACCATGCTCCAAGCATGCTCCAGTGCATGCTTCAACCAGTTCCCAAAGCAAGAATCTCAACTCAAGACGAAGACGTGACACACCTATTCTTTCCAGTTCAACTGCAAGATTCCTGCTTTTTCTCTTTACCCATTCAAAACACATTTTCCTTCTAGCCATAATTTTATTTTTAGAAGTCATGAAAAAAATCACTCTTTTCTGCTGTTTTATGTCCATCCTTTTTTTAAAATTATATCCTTGGCTTAGTTGTACCCATGAATAATGATGGAATGATTACCCGATAATTACTGGCCAAGCAGACTGTGTCGATCCTGGCAAACTTATTTGATAACAAAACAATGTCTTTGATTACCAAATTACATAATCACTCTTTAAATTTCACAACAAAATATTCATACTCGCATACCCCTCCATTTCTCATGAGTTTTCACCAACACTCATTAAAAAAATGTTGTCCTGTAACTTACAATGCCACTGTCATTATTTATGATTACAGCTTTTAACACAAAAAACTGCATTTGCATAATAACCTTTGGCCGTCTTGCTTGAAAGTCTTTCATGGAATGTTTGTGCCTATGGTTAACAAGCCTGGACCGACGTCCCTTGCGAAAATTGCTCCGAAAACTGACTACAATTATATCCCCTGAGTTTTGTCGAAGTACTACCCTGTACAGTCATGAATGCAAATACATTATTACTAAAAAAAATTCGTGTATACCTGATTTCATTTTCACAGTTTTATAATAAATACATTTAACATGTGATGCTTGACATAATTATGAAGTGCTCCAATATGTCCTTTCTTTTAGTTTTACTCTCTTCTGCAAATAAACGTGTTACAATACTTTGCTGTACAACCCCATCACCATAATAAAAACACCAACTGCTATAATGACATTAACTTCTACTTTAATAAGAAACACCCCCTTCACCATAACAAATATAAATTGTTGCCCACTTCCCCGGAAATTTAAGTGACCATTCACAGGTGTAACATAAATAGGCATGGGCGTCGCGAAGGGGGGGGGGGGGCCCTCCATAAAAGCAAAAAAAAAAGGGGGGGCGTGAAGTCATAGTGGTGTGAATTTAATGGGTTGGGGGGGGGGCAAAATGTCCCTGCCCCCCTCTGAAACTGATAAATCGAGAATGTGTTGAGAAAAACAGGCATTTTTTGGGCAAAAATATGTTTTGCCCCCTCTAGAAAAAATCCTGGCGACGCCCACACAATATTCAACCCCCACCCCCACTGGCTGCCCCCTTCTCTCCTCTGTAGTGAGAACGATGGATACGACGTTGTATAGGCCAAGATCAAACCGCGTTTCATCTAAATTACCTATTTGTACAGTTGGTGTATACGTCCTTAATGGTTTGGCACCTTGAAAATTCAATATTCAAATTGACTGGACAATATTCTAGCACAACATTATTTATGAGCTTTATATAATGAGACATCGCATGAGACAATCGGTCGGCAATAAATACTTAATTTCATTCAACTGTTGACAGCAAGACCTTCCTAATTGGCGCGCAATTTAAAACAACATTTAAACGGTATGAATCCCAGCACAAACATAAACCCCCACAATATCAACAATTTCAATGTCACCATCTCCCCTCTATAACAAAAACCATTTCTCCCCATCCCTGGAAATATTTCTCCCCATCCCCGGAAATATTGGTGACACGGTTGACGGGTTTTACGGAAATTGGGCGTTCCAACTAGCACCCTTCACCCTAGCTAGCCCCTTCCCCTATATTGACAATATGTCCTGGACCCTCGCACAATCTCCGCAGGAAATGTTATGTGCGCGCACGTTGCTAAACGCAAATACAACTTGGGCGAGACTAATGGCGAGTCCAAATAGGCTCGCGTGCAGCAGATGGTCTGATTCTTTATTTGACTTAACAGTTGTTTGGAGTTATTGGAGTTTAAATTATCGAGATTTCATTGTATACAGTAATTATTACGAAACAGTCAACTCCACCCATCTAGCGGGTGCCGCGCGAAGCGCGGCATCCCGCTAGTACTGTACATGTACATGTATGGAGATCATACAGCTCTATGATGGAGATCAATGCCTAGGACGTACTGCTCAAGGTGACCGTTTTAGCTGAATTTTTCGTTAAAAAAACGAGTTTGACAGAAAATTTTACAGAATGGATTTTTTGGGCAGATTTCTGGCAGAATTTTGCAAAAATGGTTATTTGACAGAAAAACATTGTAAAATTATTTTTAAAATGGTACATTTGTTTAAAAAAGCCTCAATCTTTTCAAACAAACCTGTGTATAATGGGACAGGTTGCCTGGTCTAGGTGCTTAGGTTCACATGGACCTTTGTCGTGGCGCAACCGCGCGTTTTGCCTGCATGAAATTTACGCAATTTCATGATGTCTTTATGAGACTATAGATTGTTTATGATGTAATTTGAACCTTTATTAAGGCAAAAGTACCAATCTGCATGTGATTTTCAGTGTTTATATAGTGTATTTCGAGTAATTCTGGGGAAGTTGGCAGACTTTTGATAAATCTGACAGATTTTTGATGTGCACTTAGCAGAATTTGGCTCTGGCCTTACGGTCACCCTGGATACATGCCACATACAGTACAGTTTGTGGCATGTACATTGTAATAGAGATCAATGCCAAGGCCGTACTGCTGAAGGGTCTTAGCGTGAGTGAAATGGTTTGGAAAAACTCCGCGATTTTATTGAGCTCCTTTGCCAATCGCTTGGGATTTACAACCCAGCATACTGTGTTCATCATTCCAATCAAACCATGTAGTCGACGATTTCTCAACAGAAGGAAAGTTACGCTTGATTCATTCCTCCAAGTAAAAGGGTTTGCCAACTCGGAACTACGGGGAGTACGGGTACGCAGCAGTAGCAGCACCGTGTCGAGGACGAACGATGCCGGGAAAGCCCCGGCACGTCCCTTGGATCACGCGCTGCCCGCTGACATTGAAGCTGGCGCGCGGGCCAAACTGGACTTTTCCTGCCCGTCCACGTTCCGATACAAAACGGCGTGGGAACTCCTGCGTGGATTGTTAGTGCTAAAACTATCAAGCTACCAGAAGTTTGTTGACAACAGTTTGAAGGTGAATTTAACCGTTTCTGTTTGAATAACAAGCTAAAAACATTCAACAGCAGGCCAGTGGAAATTGAAGGCCTTAGTTCGTTAGTCAATAATTAATTTAAAGCTTTTGTTACGTGTATCGCTTTACAGTGTTCAGTTTGGCGTTTACGTGTCTGGCCCTTTTGTCTTTTTATTTGACATGCGATTTGACTTGTGACAGCTCTGATCTTTACAGATTATGAATCTTGTGATTTGACTTTTGATTTATATGTATGCGATTTGATTTGCGTTTTGTCTTGACAAGCTTTTATTACAGATAATGTGCATCTCGAAATGCATCTTGTGAATTGACTTCTGATTTAACCTTTGATTTAACTTTGGATTTGATATGTGATTTGACTTGTGATTTTACTTGTGTCAGCTGAGATCTTTACAGATTATGAGCATCTCAATTCATCTTGTGATTTGGCTTTTGATCTGACTTTGGATTTGACTTTGGATTTGACATGTGATTTGACTATTGTCTCTAGCCTGATTTGAGTTGATGAACTGACTGAATTGAGCATCTCAAAATGCATAGTTGTGATTTGAATTTTGATTTGACATGTGATTGGACTTGTGACATCCGAGCATCTCAAAATGCATCTATGTGATTTGACAATTGAACTTGTGAGAGACCTCATGCCAAAAAAAAGTTCTGCTTCCGATTGTACATGTTATTTGAAAATAGTGTAGGTAGGTAGGAATTTTTTTTCTTCTTTTTTTTTCACTTTTTTTGGTGTACGATCATATAGAGGCGTCTGCATGTAGTCAAGGGTAAAAGTTAGTAATTGATGGTTTTTGGTGGGGTTTTTTTCTTCTCGTTTTTCCATTAAAAAAAATTAGGGTAGGGGCTGTCAGAATACGGTAGGTAGGGAAACCGGAAGCAGAAATATATAAATTGTGTTGGCCTTTACTACAATTCTGACTGTTACAGATCATGGGCGTCTCACAGCGCATCTTGGGCCAGAGGCTCTTCGGCGTGGCGGCCAGGTGTACGTTTTACGGCCACTTCATCGCAGGGGAAGGTGAGGCCGAGGCCAGGCGATTGGTGGAACGACACGAGAAACTGGGCGTGGCCACAATCCTGTCAGTAACGGCTGAAGAAGACGTTGGTGAAACTGTAGGGAGGCAAGTGCACGTCAGACACCGGTACCTGCTATGTACATGTAGTACTGGAACAAAACTAGAACCAGTGTTGTAGTCCACTTAATTTCCATGAGTACGAGTATGAGTATGAGTAGTCATGAGTATGAGTTGGTGAAACTGTAGGGAGGCAAGTTCACGTCAGATACCGGCACCTGCTATAAATCCATGTACCGTAGTACTGGAACAAAACTAGGACCAGTGTTGTAGTCCACTTCATTTCCATGAGTACGAGTATGAGTATGAGTAGTCATGAGTATGAGTTGGTGAAAGTGTAGGGAGGCAAGTTCACGTCAGATACTGGCACCTGCTATAAATCCATGTACCGTAGTACTGGAACAAATCTAGGACCAGTGTTTTAGTCCACTTCATTTCCATGAGTACGAGTATGAGTATGAGTAGTCATGAGTATGAGCTGGTGAAACTGTAGGGAGGCAAGTTCACGTCAGATACCGGCACCTGCTATAAATCCATGTACCGTAGTACTGGAACAAAACTAGAACCAGTGTTGTAGTCCACTTAATTTCCATGAGTACGAGTATGAGTATGAGTAGTCATGAGTATGAGTTGGTGAAACTGTAGGGAGGCAAGTTCACGTCAGATACCGGCACCTGCTATAAATCCATGTACCGTAGTACTGGAACAAAACTAGGACCAGTGTTGTAGTCCACTTCATTTCCATGAGTACGAGTATGAGTATGAGTAGTCATGAGTATGAGTTGGTGAAACTGTAGGGAGGCAAGTTCACGTCAGATACCGGCACCTGCTATAAATCATGTACCGTAGTACTGGAACAAAACTAGGACCAGTGTTGTAGTCCACTTCATTTTCATGAGTATGAGTATGAGTAGTCATGAGTATGAGTTGGTGAAACTGTAGGGAAGTAAGTTAATGTCATATACCAGCACCTGCTATAAATCCATGTTCTGTAACAAAACTAGAACCAGTGTTGTAGCCCACTTATTTTTCATAAGTATGAGTACTTTGCCATGAGAACAGTATGAGTATGAGTAGTCATGAGTATGTGTGCAAGACGATTCTTTCCCATTGAGTATGAGTGAGAGTACCACAAATTGTACTCCAGTACGAGTACAAGCACAAGTACTTTCCACTAGTGTACATTTTGTATAGGAGCGAATTTAAATGGGTATATACATGTATATACATGTGTTTTCAAGGGCTTTCCTGTCAATCTATAAAAACAAAAGCAGAAGCCTCACAAATCAGTTGAAAACTGGTTCTTTTCCTGCATGTACATGTAGATCTTGCAATTTTTTTTAAATACTATGCATGCGCAAGAACATTTGCAAAGTACTGGTATGAGTATACTGTGTCATGAGTACGAGTATTGGTAATTGTTTTCTTTTGAGTACGAAAGCACATTGTCATATTAAGTACTCACAGGTTCAAACCCCATTCCAGTCAATTTCTTTGTTCAACTTTGTAAATGCAAATAGTCATTACGCCGACTTCTATTTTGGTCGGCTTGAGTTACTCTAATTACACTTCAGTAATTGGTTCGATTCTGAAATTGTCTGAAACTGGTGTGGATGTGTTAAAATTACCTCAGTTGATATTTCTCAGTAGTTTTGATTGACCGCTTCGTTCATTTATACACACAGCTATGATGAGCCGAGATATGACCACAATGCCAATGGCTACATGCAATGCATGGATCTCTCGCTGGCATTGTCAAGAAGGTTTCGGCCTGTCAGCCAACTGAAGGTGACCTCGTTTGCAAAAGCAGATGTCTTGGTGAGTTATTTGGTCCTGCTTATACCCAGGATCCATGCTTGCTTGTCACCACTGCCATTTAAACTAGCTAAAGTAATTGCTGCAATGCCCAGAACGATTATTCAGTTATTCGATTAATCAGTTGTTCGATTAATCAATCAATTTACCAGCTTATTTGCTTACAGATTTCAGTTTGATTAAAACAGCATAAGATTTGGTCATAGAAAGCTCTAATTTTGTCCTGGACAAGTCACAGAACTGTCATGGATTTCCATTTTTTAGTTGGAACTCTGTTCTTGCATGCTTCAATCCTAGCCAAATCTCGCTGGGCCCCCAACCCCCAGTCCCTGGTCAATTTTGTCTTTCATTGCGCTGTGTGTGCTCCATCAGCTGGAGAGAACAACATTGACCGAGGGAGCGGGGGAGTGGGTGACCGACCGTGGGAGGCTAAGGTTATTTTCAAGTGTCCAAACCATTTTGGCTGGGATTGTAGCTCCCTGCTTTTTGAAAGGCTTCTACCTTGATGAGTGGGTTTGGTGGTCTTGATTTTGGGTATTTTTAAAAAAAAATTTATAACATACGTTTGGATTTCCAATTTATTGAAAACCCTGTACTTGCGTGTTACCAGTAGCTCCCTGCTTTAAAGGGCTCTTCTACCTTGACTGTGTTTGGTTGTGTTGATTCTTGGTATGTTTCATTCTACGTTTTCAGGCCAGAGTGACAGAATTACTCCAAGAAAATAGTTTGCCATATGATAACAACTCTCCACTGAGTGTTGGCAATCTGGCCAAGGGGTTAGACGGTCAAATGCTCTCCATCCCGGGGCTAAATGAGGCAGAGAACAAGCATCTGAGATTGGTGTTGAAGAGACTCAACGAAATAGGCCAGGTACGTGAGAAAGCTGATATGCATTTTTATCCCCCTGGCTTTGAAGCCAGACAGGGAGATATTGCTATCGCGTATTCCTTCTGTGTGTCCGTGTGAGTGTGTAAACACCTAGGACAAAAGGGATAGTCCACGATTGAAATTCGTGAACAAAACCAATGAGAGCAGTCGCTAAAAAGTTGAGGTACAAACAAAGGAATGATGATTAGGGAAAATAGAGGGTCCACGATTGACAGTGTTTGCAAAGATGTGTATGAGTTTGTTTCTGCATTCAATAGGGGACGTCAAACAATAGAGGGCAATAGGGTCCCCAATTCCCTAGAGGTCCCCAATTCCCTAGAGGTCCCCAATTTGGATTTGTGTACAAAACATATGGGAGGTCTTCCTAAAAAGTTAAGAGTACAAACAAAAGAGGGACAATAGGGGGTCCCCAATTGTAGGCAAATACACACTTGTATTTGTGTGTACCATTTTGGTTAGGTTCACTGTAAGTTCAGTCATCAATCTCAACCAAACCTGAAAATGGATATTTAAGAGTTCTCTGGAGAGCTCAGCTCATATTTCTAATGACTCTAACATACGTGTCAGTAGTAGGTCTACTATTAATGACTCTACCAGCTGCAGTGGCAAGGAGAACGCACCAAAACTGACTGACATTAGCCCGCACGGAGTCTGTGTCTCACAGAAACTGCCAATTCAACCCAAACAGGGTTCAACTGAGAACTGGTACCTGCCGGGTGGACAATCAAGGCCGTCACTGAAAATTGTCCTCACTAACTGCCTGTGTTCATATTTACAAACTGCCAGGATGTCAGGGGATCGTGCAGGTTTTACTTGCAGTATTTTTAACCACAATTAAGTTGGCACATTCTGAATCCATTGCTTGTAATTTCAAATATTCAAATATTGACTCAGCCCTATCGTGTTTACTTTTTTTTCACAGCGTGCAATCAAGAACAACGCCCAGCTTCTGGTGGATGCCGAGAAGACCAACATCAACCCAGGAATAACGCTGCTGTGCCTGGCTCTGATGCTGAAATTCAACAAGGAATTCCCTGTGATATGGAACACGTACCAGTGCTACCTGAAGGTAAAAAGTAGTCTAGTTCCCAGACCTGACCTGAATTTTGATGACTTGTGATGACTTGTGACTGACTTGTGATGACTTGTGATGACTTGTGATGACTTGTGATGACGTGTGATGACTTGTGATGACTTGTGACTGACTTGTGATGGCTTGACTTGTGATGGCTTGACTTGTGATGACTTGGTGACCAACATCGACCCGGGATAACACTGCTGTGCCTGGCTCTGATGCTGAAATTCAACAAGGAATTCACTGTGACATGTACCAGTGCAGACTTGTGATGACTTGTGATGGACTTGTGATTGACTTGTGATTGACTTGTGATGGACTTGCGATGGACTTGCGATGGACTTGCGATGGACTTGCGATGGACTTGTGATGACTTGTGCTGGCTTTTTATGGGATTGTGATGGCTTGTGGTGGCTTGTGATGGACTTCAGATGGACTTGTGATAGACTTGTGATGGACTTACGATGGAATTGTGATGGACTTGTGATGGATTTGTGATGACTTTTGATGGCTTTTGATGGCTTTTGATGGGATTGTGATGGCTTGTGATGGGCTTGAGATGGACTTGCGATGGACTTGTGATGGGCTTGTGATGGACTTGTGATGGACATGTGATGGACATGTGCTGGACTTATGATGGACTTGTGATGGACTTGTGATGGGCTTGAAATGGACTTGTGATGGACTTGTCATGACTTGTTACTGACTTGTGAAGGAATTGTGATGGATTTGTGGTGGACTTATGATGGACTTGTGGTGGACTTGTGATGGACTTGTGATGGACTTGTGATGGACTTGTGATGGACTTGTGATGGATTGTAATGGACTCATGATGGACTTATAATGGCTTGTGATGGCTTGGGATGACTTGTGACAGACTTGATTACAAATCTTCTTTCTTCCCGTAATAGCAAACCATGAACGAAGTCAGAAATGACTTGCAGTGGTCTGAACAGCAAGGCATCTGCTTTGGAGTTAAGATTGTCAGGGGTGCCTACATGGATGCCGAGAGGGCCTATGCAGCAGAACATGGGCTTGAAGGTAGGATGTTGCAACGGAAGTACAAGTACCCGGAGACCTGCACTTGTACTCGGAGGTACAAGTACTCGTACTCGTACTCGGTAACCTAAGTACTCTGCAGTACTCGGTATTCGGAAAAAAGTACTCGACCACAACACTGCAAATAATTCTATACATGGTGTATCCGCTCCGTTCACAAGTACCCCCTCACCGGCAAAGAAAGTACAGTTGGGGGTGACCGACCGACCGACGCCATCTTGCCTGACTGCAATTTTGCCGCGACGTGTGGCCGTACCACTGCGTGTACATAGTACAAATCCCTTGGTGTACGTGCGTCACACACAAGGAACTGTGCGCGTCAACCAGCTAAATGTCCCGCCGATGGGATGTCCTTGCTAGGTAAAAGGGCGCCCTCTTTCGTTGGCGAATGGAGCCTATAGCGAAAGTATCAGTAAGCATGTGACCGTGAAATTGACCAATTAGAATTTGAGTATCATTTTTGAACATGTGACATTACAGTGAGAGTGGCCAATCGACCTGTAGCTCTCGTTTGATAGTTTACTTTGCTTCACCGGTCCCCTTCCACAGACCCCGTTCATCCAAGCTTCGAGGCTACCAGTGACATGTACAACGCTGTCATTGCTTTTATGTTGAACCACATACACCGGAACCCGGGCCGATGTGGCCTGATCGTAGCCACACACAATGAGGAGTCCGTGCTACGGGCAGTGATACGGTAGGCTACTTGCATTTAATGCGAACATTAGTGGATAAACTGTGTTAAATGGACGTGGTTGCACTATGGAACAAAAATTGATAAATTGGAAGGCCTTATAAAATATTTCAGCTCAGTAAAATACACAATGTACATTTGAGAAAAACTGCAAAAATGCATCTTCATAATACCAGTCCTAAATTCTGTACAGGGTGAGTAAAAAAAAAGCGAAACCCAAATGTTGGGACTATTGTTTTAGTGAAGTTCTGCATGTAGCACTTTCAAAATCTAGGATATGAAAGCCCAATTCATAAGCTTTCTTTTAGTACAACAGTGCGTGAAATTAGACAAAAAAAGTGGTCAGACAAAATGTCCGAGCACAATCAAAAGTGTTCTGCCATTGTCAAGTTTTGATCTGCCATTTAGCGTTCCAAATTTGATTCACGCGCTCGTTTCTGTAGTAAGCCACGTTGTGAGAATTTAGTAACAATCACGCACTTAAAGCATACCGCGCAACACAACGTAGGCTACTTTGATCTTGCTAAATTCTCATTACATGTATGCGCGTCAATGTCCTTATAATACTCTATATTTCGACTCGTCACTATACAGACTCGATTCAAGTCTGCAGAACACATAACCTAAACTGGGTGAAATTGCAGTTCTGAATGTCCAAAGAGGCTCGATCGAATCATTATAGCAAGGAATAGAGGTTGAATCAGGTCCAATTTAACACTTTTGCCCAATAGAAATTAACTGGGAATTCCACAAACGGCCACTGCTCATTTCCATAAAATGACTTGAAAAGTACAAAAAGTTGTATTAACTGATTTGTAGAAGAAACACGAAGACTGCTGATCGAAACACAATTTATCGACTTGATTTCACGTCTATTTTTTGGCAAACGGCACGTACGTACGAATGCCAATCTATCGCTGTGCACGCCACGCTGTACTAGACTGTGTAATGATTGGGGTGTAAACGCGTTGCATCTATTGCGTGAATATAAGACAACACGTACATGTAGTTAGCAGCCGCTCAGCGTACGGTAAGTATTACAGACCGGATCATCGGAAATAAACAACAAAATACTTTTGAGTGCAAGCGTTTATTTCATACTTCTGAAAAAGACAACTCCACAAAGAATACATAAATCGCTCGGACATTTTGTCCGAGCACATCTGCATTTGGTCGGACAAACCATGAAAGTGGTCGGAAAATGTCCGATGTCCGACTGTAATTTCACGCACTGGTACAAGAATTATTCAAACCACTCATGTACTTTTAAAGTTACGGAATTTTAAACACAAACCACCGTTTTAAAGTTCTGTCCTTGGATCACAAAAAAGGTGTGCGTTCTTTCAGCAAAACAAACACAATTCACACACATACCTATGTGATTTGTTTTCGTTTTGCTGGAAGAATACTTACCTTCTTGAAACTGATTTCATGTTCATTGGGTTTATTTGTTTGTTTGTTGATTTCTTTTGTGTTGTAGGATGGAGGAGCTAGAATTGTCGCCCACCTCTGGTGAGGTCATCTTTGGTCAAATCTTGGGCCTATCCGACAGAATCACAGTTGCACTCGGTAAAACAAAATAATTAAATTGTGCCGAAAAGAGATTGATAGTCATAGTTTATTCACGAGCAGTAGTCAATTTAATGGAGTTTCTTATCACGGAAATTCACTATTAGTAGGATTTTTTTTTTTCTCAATATTTCTACCGTAAGGTGTAAGATTTTCCCTCTGTGTAGGTGGTTTTCTTGAAGAATGGCAGCGTGCTTGTATTAGCCCTAACTCCGTGGCATGATTTACTAGGAACCATACCCATCCTGGCAAATTCCAACACCATATGGGAAACTGCGCACACGTACTTCTGACTTTGATTCTGGAGGTGTGCCCAACCCAATGTGAAACCCTGTCAGTTTAGGGGTACTGTACCCATCCAGACAGATTCCAACAAAACATGCCGTTGGGGTTTGATGGGTTGAGTTCTGTTAAGGTTAATCATTGAATAAATGGGAATTGGTATACATGTAATTTCTGATTTTCAAACTAAGTTACCTGGGAAATTTTGGTGAGTTTATGGAAAGTTATCAATACCCTCGGCTTGAACTCTTTGTTTAGAGAGAATGGATACGATTGCTCAAATCCCCCCCCCCCCCAAGCCCACTGTCTCAATGTAATTCCATCTTATAGTAATTCATTCTTTCCTCTCTTTACTGTTCGGCCCTCCATTTAGGCCAAGCAGGCTACCTTATCTACAAGTCGTCACCCTACGGCCCAGTGGATGACGTGTTGCCGTATCTGGCGCGCCGGGCTCTGGAAAACCGAGCCATTCTGCAGAACACGCACCGTGAACGCTCACTGATGGTGCAAGAGATCAAGACAAGATTCAGTTTGCGCTAGTGCTTCTGTTGTTAGAATGAAGTGGGGATGACCAATCTAACGAAGCTGTTAATTGAGGTGGCACCGTACTCCAGCATGGGTTGTATGCCAAACTCAGAGCCCCTTCAACCAATAGACCTTTATCATGCTGCCACCATGTCAGTCATGTTCCCCGTATCCAGTAACAGTACTGAACGATAATGGTTTTTGTGCAAAAAGGAACCAGACTATTTTTCCTTCCAGCCTCGCTTTGGTTACGTTGCTTCGAATGGGAAAAATTTGCAGTCATCAGCTGACATTTGAAGGAAAAAAAAGTACCAACAAAAAACGCGTCGCCGCACCACTTTTGGGGTAAGCTCCATACCGGAAACCGAAGACTTTTTTTTTTTGGCCTGAGACAATATGCTTTATTTTTGGTGCATTGTTTGCAGACACATTGTAAAAAGTTTATTTTTGTTATTGATACATACAAAAAATAATTTATAAGAGTTAATTATTGCACAGGTGATACTAAATTATTTTACTGCAGCCGTGTCTCATCATTTTTGTTTTGCTTTTCCGATTCACAATTTTGAAAAGCAATATTTAATATAAGGTAGCATAGGTGATGTGTGTGTTATTGCCAGACATATTTAGACATTTTTACAGTACAATCACACAAACTATATACAAGTCTACAGGGTAAATCAATTCCATACACGCAACGCAGAGGTACTTTATATACAATGCAGTGAATAGGAGATAATTTGTATGTAACGCAGTGTATACTAGTATGTTATGTACTTTTTTATAGACGGGCACACCTAGACTACTATATCAAAGCACAGGCAGTTCTAGCCTTCGGGAAACAGGGGAGGGGTGGATTGATGTGTAGGTGGGTGCAAGGGAAGGGGTGCTGAAAATTGCAAAGTCTACGATGATTTCTCCTAGTCCGAGTATCACCCGTTATCCAAGGAGCCAAGTCTCCTGTATAACGTCTGATATGTCTAGACATGCAGATATATGCAAGCTGCGCGCCAGCCAATCAAAGTCGACTTTACTAAATCGTGACATGATTTTATTCCTAAATCAGGACTAAATGGTTTGATTGGTCAATTCGAATGCAGTGTTTTGTAATACAACAACAGCCGGGCGCGGTATCGCATACCATGATACAGAGCGCGTGACACATTTCTAAATCCATTGTCTATGACGTGCAACAGGTGAATGACCGAAGACCTGATATGAAAAGCGCCCGCTGATTGGTCAAAATCTAGGAGGTCAAGAGGCGGGGTCTTGCGCAATTAATCAGCGAATCTGTTCACGCATAATAGACCACGGCATTTACAAAGACTAGCTTTATCCTGCATTCTAAGGCAATTTGATAATACATTTAGGAACTTTAGCATTCCGTTTATTGCTTTTGTTCCCATTTTACTAGTTTGGCATAACATCAATCGACATCTGAACGGTGGTGGGGGGGGGGGGGGCGGTTGCAACACCCCCCCCCCCAACTAAATCCGCTACTGCAAAGACATATTACAATAAGAGTTACCAAGCCTCTAGAAATCTGCCTCACCAGCTGTATAACCAGCATGTCACAGGAAACTGAGTCACCAATACATTTTCTATTTACATAGTTTTCTCATTGTTTTCCCGTAGTTTTTTTGTCCTTGTAGTTGGGTTTCCTTCCTTTGTTTTCATTTCCTGCTTAGAGAATTTAACTATTTTTTTTAAAATGAATCAAAAATTTGCAAAAGTACTTACTGACTGAATTGACTTGAAGTATACATATACATGTACATGTACCGATAAAAAAAGTTAGAGGATTTAATATTTCTATCCTGGCAGGACATTTGTGTAATGCAAAGGTCTTCTTTTTTTTGGTGCCTTCAACAAGGTCCTGCCGGTATCTAAACATTAGGCCCTAATTTTTTATTTTTTTTATGAAATTTATTATTATTATTAGTTTACATTGTTCACGTTGTTTACATTGTTTCCTTTTTAAGATAGAGACATATTCACTTCAGACGTTTTGTTTTACGGACTTATCTGTATAAAGTGGGCTGTTACTTAATTTTTATTTGTGACTCTCTAGCGTGAAACCAATCAGAAGTCGCACGGCCGTATTTTGGGATACTGCCTATAATAGACCTTATTCTCGAGCGTGTTCCCCTAGTCTGGTTCCCAGACCAAAAGATTCTGACTATTCCTGATGAATCTTAGGTCAGGTAGCCTCCGGTAATACATTGTATTACAATTTACGTCACGTGACTAAAACGGGAGGAATTCCTCCTTTTTCCGAAAATTTCCGAAGTTTGCCAAATTCGTTTTGTCGACAATCGGATAGTGCCCGAGTATTTCCTAGTATAATATAGGTTTAATTAACCGCTAATTGCTTACTAAATTCTTTTTTAATGAGTTGATAATTAATATTCATTGCTTTCATTTAGAAAACTTGAAATTCAACGATGATTTTGTGCATCAAATATACTCGGATCGTATGGGCGAACCTTTTGCTGCGTCATGTACAATTTTGAATTTGACGACCATTACCGAGATTTTCCAAAACTCGGTCTTCATTCGGCTCCGCCTGCTAACAGTGATATTTGGGTGCCTAAATTTGAAGATTCCGGATCAACATTAGTCAATGTTATCTTACAGAAACGTCAAACTGTATTATCATAACTGTATGATACTACGAAGCAAGTGATTTATTAACAAATTTGATCAGAACATTAAAAGCTAAAAGCGATAAAGCGAAATCGGAAACGAAGCCGAGCTTTGAAAAAGGGCCATCAATGTCGTCATGTTTATTTTTAGCCACGGAGGCTGCCTGACCTAAGATTCATCAGGAATAGTCAGAATCTTTTGGTCTGGGAACCAGACTAGTGTTCCCTGAATCTATTTTACAAATTTTAAACCCTGGAATGGGATGGTGCCAGACTATTTTATGATTGAAATGCGTGGCTAGCCTCACTTTCCTTGTTTTTCCAATGTGGCTTAAACATTAGGGTATGTTTAATATTCACAACTGTTAAATTGTTCATCAGAGCAGACTGGTATTAATTTGTACGTAACTTTTATTTCATTGCTTTCATTTCTACTGGCAAGTTCCAAAAATGAAGAGTTTGCCTCGCTTTCAATTTAAGATGGCCGACTGGTGAATGAAGCCTATAATACACTGTACAGGCAAAATTTATTGAAATTCAGATCTAGGCGTTATAAAAAGCTAGAAGATTGAATATATTTTTCAATTTCAGTGAAGTGAATTAATTAAGTTTGTAAATTTGTATAATTATAAGTTTCTGCCAAGAAAATACGACTTTAAATCTGAAATATACAATATTTTATAAATAAATATTTTTTATAGACCAATAAAAAAAATAGGCCATAGTAGAATGAATATAGACCTTTCTATGCTTGGTTGGCAAACTGCACATTTTGCCAACCACAGGTTACAAAACTATGGAAGGCCCAACACTGCAAAAATGAAGAAGAGTTATTACAGATAACCAAAATATTATTTGTTTGATGGAAATACAACATTGTCAACAAAGCTACAACATAATTCCTAAGCATGCCTTTTCACTATGTGTTGATGGCGTTATGAGAACTTTTTTGGAAAAATATGTTGCCAACCACGGCTCCAATTTATGCACTTGCGGCAGCCCATACAAAATGGCGCCATACAAAACAACAGAAAGGTCTATATTTCACTTTCTGTGAAGTTAATTTGTAAGTTTGTAAATTTTTATAATTATAAGTTTCTGCCAAGAAAACACGACTTAAAACCTGAAATATACAATAATTTATAAATAAATATTTTCTATAGACAAATTAAAACATAGGCCATATATACATGTAATATGTAAAAAAAACAGTGTCATAGTCTCATAGTCATTTGAAGTCTTTATACTAGAGTGTGAAATGTTTGGTAAACAATTACAATCGAAAAAGAACTGTGATTCAAGCAATCGCTGTCAATTTGACAGTTTTATCATAACTCCCTGTGTATATTATACAGGAGTCTTCTTGGAAACTTGGGACATTAAACCCCAATAAAGCCACAGTGAATTGGTTATGTATCCGGTGGGAAAGAAAGTGGAGATGGGGTAAATTGGGCTAATCAACACCTGCAGAGGAACAGTGTGTGTACAAAAGGCACGTGGATCTGGTACACGGTACCCTCTGGAGACACGTGCACAATAGGGAACAACAGATTGTATACGTCTCCACAGGGCAATTTCTATAGGTGAATACGTCTCCACAAGGTTATCACGAAACAAATATATGGATTTTACTCAAAAACTAGGAATCTCCAACGTGTGTTGATGTGTCGCAAATTGAAGTTCTTTATGTAAGGGATATAAAGTCCAAATTTCAGCCCGGAAGTTCATTCTGTTTAAAATAGGAGCATTTTGAAAGTACACTTTCAAACTCGAAAACTTTAGTACACGAGAACAAAGAAATGACTCCACAAGGAAACAAATTTCAGTATGTGTGGATTAGCATGTTTAGACGTCACCCGGAGCCGAGTCGAGGCAATCTTGATGTCTTAACCCGTCAGCTGTGCCTGTGTATAAAAACAGCCAGTGCGTGTTAACACGTGCTCCAATGAGAACTGATTAAGTCAGGGGTCTAATATGTGTAGTTGAAGTTGGAGAAAGTTTTTGTATTTAAAAGTTTTGAGAAACCTCGTATTCTGCTGAGCTGCTCTCATTGAGTTGAGTATTGTATACAGTTTTTGTACATAGCCACGGAAGAGTCTGTGTGTTAAAAAAAACAAAGTACAAGAAGTGCATGAGTGGGGTTAGTTTGTTTGAAATCCAGGATTGCGGCAAGAAATGAGCCAGGTGCCAATAACTCCCCACACTGGCTGATTTTCAATGCTGTGAATGGCACACCATGTCTGGTACTTGGCATCGTTGACGGCTGCATGTTCACTTTGAGCTCGTACCCGCTTTTTCTGCAGGACCATGGCCTTGTACTGGAAGGGGAACAACCAAAAAGTTTTGTTATAGAACAGTTTTCATGCTGCAATAAAAATTTCTGTGAACACCGTATCAAGTTTTGGTCCCTCATTCACTTCTTGTTTTTCAGACAAAAACAGTGCCAAAGTTGGCGTATTTATAGGAATAAATACGCACTTGGCGGGTTTTCAACAAATGCGTTTAAAACCGGCTAGAGACCTGGAAGTGGATTGGGCAACCAGGACCCTAGCCAGGTTTAAATGTACTTGTTTAAAGCCGGCCAAGCACGTATTTATTCCCATTCATAAATACTTTTCTGTCAAAAAGTCAAAACATGTCAAAAATTATAAATTTCTTACCATTTTGTTCCACAGGTTTCCTTCATGTTTTGTGAAACAAACTTTTAGCTGTATTCATGGAATGTGATTTTTAGTAGTAAAAATCTCCTTATGTGGATATAGTGAGTGGCGCGCAACGCAGCAGTGCCGAAAAAAGTGTTTAAAACCAGTCGGTGTTTTAGCAATTATTTAAAACCAGCCACTTGGCAGGCTCTCAACCAATAGGAATGGGTAAACTGTCTTGTGAAAGCAAAAATAAATGATTTCAAGTTTATTATCATTATTACAGTTTTAGAAAGTCATACCGTTTTCAATATGACAATGTTAGAGTGGGTCCATACAGAACCTGTTCGGATCGAGCTATTAAGCAGGGAAAAAATTTGCTAGAGTAAAGATGCATTCCCCATGCTATTTTCGAGTTTCATCTCGAGAAATAGATCTGGGTTTTTTTCTATTGCTATTTTCTGAAAAATAAAGAAGTTATTCACTTTAGAATGAGTCATTTAAGATCAAGCTAAATGAGCCGTTTGTCGGGAACTTTCATTTGGAGATACAGGCCAAAATAAGGCCACTTCATCACATCACTTCATCACATCTCTTGGTGTTCCGACTTCCATAATTTTTGAACTAAAGATGGTATCAGCATGCGGTTTTCACAGCAGTAATGCTAAGATTGTGCTCTTTTCAAATCTGTGAAAAAATAAATTGACCAGGGTTGACAAACGACTCATTTAGCTTGATGGCATCACATTTATTGAATTATACATCAGCACAATTCAAATGATTGGCTGCCAGTCAATCTTCGGCTTTTGTTTACAAAATGAACGCCCTTTTTCAGAGGGCAGCAGATGCCCAAAATCGAAATAACGTAGTTTTTCTTTCTTTCGTTAAAACAAAACGTACAAATTGAAATCTGCCACAAGAAAAAAAAAATTTGAAGAGCACGGGGTAGCCATCTTTTAATGTGCACAATTAGCCTAGAAAAACTCACAAGTAATAACACTACATGATAATTGCTGATGAATTTCTTTTCTTATTTTGCTGAGTAAACTCTTCAACGTCAAGATAATTTTTTGTTAGGAATGAATGACTTACGTTTCCTTGCGCCATCCATAAAGTCTTTCAGAACGTCAGTCATGACAGCATTGGCTGCAAGGGGGTCTTCCAACTGTCGGGGAGGGAGATTATCACCGGCTTGTCTGTAGACCAGAAAAAGAATAAACAAAAGTTGTAGACGGAAGTACGACACACACAGTACATTCTTTCTCCGTGGTTTTAAAACTATAACTAGGTCTCCAAACGGTCCACGGCACTGTAGTACAGTTGTCTGAACACTTCCTCAATATCAATAAGATACAGAGTAAGGCTGCATCCGAATCAACTGCCTAGAGCTAGGTCTAGGTCTGTGCCCATTGAAAATACGCGGGGACGCGCTGACAATAGACGTAGCCGTAGCTCTGGAAGCCCGTTTCGGACACAGCCTAAGAGAATAACAAGCCTGTTGCTATCCTTGTGAACTCTGATGCCAGGTCAACTAAATTTAAATACCCACACAAGCTTAAATTGGAACTGTTTTGTATGGCTAATCTCTAAATTTTTCAGAAGATTTAAGAGCATTGCCTGTTCTCAAGTACGGTTGTGCTAAACATCCCGGAGAACACATGACAAGGGAATGATTATAGTTTTTTTTTCATTAACCCTAGCTCCCTAGGCATTTATGTTGGTTGTAACCTCAATCCTGCAAAATCCTCCAACTGCCTCCATGTAAAGAAAAGCATACAGCCTCTATCCTGAAAATTCCTCTGTTATTTCTTGAATGTGGTCCTTGGGTGACCACTGCCTCAATCCTGCAAAATCCTCCAGAGAAGGGGTTTGCCCTGGTGTTTCTGGCAGTGGCTGCAATATTCGCCGCAACACCTTGTACACCCTTATGAGGTGCTACATAATGGGTCTCATATTTCTCATAAACTTGATTTACCTTTCTTTAATAATAGACATATCTCCAGCGCCTTGAGTACCTAATAGTTGGTAGATACGTGCGCTATATAAGACTCCATTATTACAAGGCCCGGCACAAGACTTTGACACAGTGTACACTCCGAAATGACCAACACACTTTTGCCATGTAGCGTCAATCCTGCAAAATCCTTCATTTTGCAAAGAGCATGCATTTTTGAGAAGGTTAGGGTTAATGAACGTCATCTTATAATTGCTATAGAAGTGAATGAAAAATTTTACGCTGTGCTGGGCTTTACACGTCCCCAGTGAGATCCAGCAAGAAGCGAGGCTGCATCTGGCTTGAGCGAAGCTGCTGGCTTGCCCTGAGGGAGCAAACCAAAAAACCAAACAATCACAAACGAATCTGACATGAATTTTAAAAATTGAACAAAGAATTGACTTGAGCAGGGTTTAAACTAGTAGACCACGGGGCATGGCTGCAAAATGTGCTCAGAAAGTGATTTTCGTGGCGCACCTCTCAAATCTAAGTGAATTTTTGCAGGTTATTAGCTGAGACCATATGGATCACAAAAAACCAAAATCCACAATCCCAAAGTGACCAATCATTTAAATATTTGCATTTTAATCAGCAGTTCAAAAAAGGGCGCCCTCTATTGACCGGGATTGGAAAACTGTGCACATTTCCAATGGGAAAGATTGTTTCATTGCTGTTGCTTGCTAAAAAGGGTTTCTACAGAGCCAAGACTTAATAAAAAGGAACTTGGGGTGACTTTTAATGCTCCAATAATTAATTTAAATATCAAATTTTCCATCCCATTGAAATTCAAGGAAGATTTTACAAGCCCTTTCCCAGCCTCAGTGCAAGTGTTTCCTCCTTTTGTTTTTTTATTTTTATTTAGAATACATGTACATGTATTGCTCTTTTCTGAACTTCTTAATAGGGTATTATTGATTATTCAATTATAATTTTCTTTTTGGTTAAAACTACAAAGTATTTCTGATTCATGATGTAATAACATTCAACAAAGTGTCCGTAGAAAAAATACGAATGAGTTAAGTCTGAATGAAAAAATAAACATGACCACAGTGCTTTATAACTTCAGCCTTTGACGATATTTATTCATACAAAAAACAATACGGTAAACAGTAATTAAAAAGACTTGAGAAATAATTACTGTGATTGGCAAAGATTATAATACAGTGCTTGCGGTTTGCGTCTCTGGTGGAGCCAATATTTTTGAGGATTAAAATATACTGCAATTACATGTACTTTTGATTTTTTGTCAACTGTCTTAAATATTAAACACGTTCCAGGAAGGACTGTTGCAACCTGGCACCCCTCTTTTCTTCATATCATCTCAACAAAGGTTAGTCATTGCAAAAATGGTGAACAGACATGAATCTTTCAACGGCGAATCCATTGGCATCTGGAAACTACATCCATTAGTGAGTTCCGTTGTCTAAATTTCAAATCATTTGAAGGGTCGAAGGAGAACACGAAACATGTCATCAACCTTCACAGAAACCAGAACTGCTGTTGAGAACATGGTACAATGTATGAAAGGATTGGTGAATACCTCTAAAATAAAATGTGAAACATTTCTCTCTGCACAGAGGCATCAACCTAGAGAGAGCCTTTAGGCCTTTTGCGTAGCATCTTGGAGGACAATCTTCTGCACCCCCCCCCCCCCAAAAAAGGAATTACAGTAACAAAAAGCTCTCAATGGTGTCTTAATAGAGTCTATTTGATCCACAACAAATAACACTGTAAGCACGAACATTACCGAAGAGGAATAAAAAAAAGGATTGTCAAAAAGGAAAACACACGGTAAAATTATTTCCCATCCCCTTGCTGAAAAAGTGGAAAAATCCCGCAACAAAGTCAACGGTGTCCACTTCAACCGTAAGATTGAAATTTGGTGTTTTTTAGTTGTGTACTATCATTAGTTAAACATAAGTCCTATTGATTCATATGTGGAAATACTTAAGTGGATGGAAAGCAGACTGTGTGATTCAAAGTTTCTCAAGTGACAATCTGATTCCTTATTTAGATAGACGTACGTGTACGTGATGGTCAGTTTTTACATTAGTTAATCCTCGATTTCTGAATCATCACTTTCGGGTGAAGTGTGCTGCCCTTCACTTGGAATGTTTTCACAGTTGGTGCACTTGCACAAGTCTGTGCATGGCAGTTTTTTTCACGACAGCTACACTGGCCTTTTGTGCATTGACTTTTTTACATGGGCAAATTCCATGACACTGTCTGGGGCAGGGGGAAGATCCATCCAGTGGATACTGATGTCATCGCCGATGACCTTCCATCCTCTTCTGTGTGGAGACTAGAAGGCACTTCAGGACGTGCATCCAGGGCCCGCTTGTATATGGCTGCCTGGTAGTTAGCCCTCTTTACGTGCAGGTGCAAGGCATCCTTGTTTGGCGGCATCAATGACTCCATCACAGCTCCCATCTGGAACATGTTGTATCTGCAAGTTGTCAAATTACGAGAAAAATCCCTTTCTTAAATGACAGCAATTTTTAATTGCAAATTGCATTTTCTTATTGTGCAACGGGCACTGCACAGGCGTGGTTCTACGGGGGGGCTGGGGGGGCTGTAGGCCCCCCCCCCCCCCCAAATTTTGTCTAGCCCCCCCCCAAAATAAATTCCATAAAAAAAATTGCATTAGCAAAAAGAAAGATTGTGATGTACATGCGAACGGTCTCCCCCTAAAGAAGAAATAGCCGTGACAAGGGTGCATTAGTTAATATAGTGTGAATGATTTTAGGATTTTATTGGGGCTCCCTATTGAAAATATGGCATGAGCCCCCCCCCCCCCTATTGATTTCCGGAGGCCTAAGTGTCTGGAAAAAAATAACCGGTCAACATTTCAGCACGCCTCCCTGAAAAAATTCTGGATCCATCGTGCTAGCCCCCCAAAAATATTGGTTCTAGAACCGCGCCTGGCACTGCATGTTTTAACTTGAGAAATAAACATTAGCAATGAATGGAATGTTTTTTAAAACTGAACGAGAAACAAATTCCCAGAGATTGTCAATTCTAAAGTAGGGCTTGTATATGTTTGCATGTATTTCCAATTTGATTTAGCTACAAAATTATGAAACCTTGACTCAAACCAAAGTTGTGTAGAGGATGGCTCTATCTCCAACCAGCCCCTGCTTTAGGCATGTTATATTTTTCAAGTGAGTGTGCTCATGTGACTCCTTAGAAAAAAAGGCAAAAATACCTTGACTTTCATGTTGCTGTTTCTTTGCAAGTCTTTCTGCACGGTCTATCCTGGAAACAGATACGTTTGTAGCACTGCTGAATGTGTTGATGGTATCCAAATGCCTGCCTGAAATTGAAAAAAATGTTTTTAAAATATCACTCATTGCTCTCATTTCAATTATTTCACAATGTAAATCTTTGTCAGTTGATTGGAGAATTACGGGTCAAAGAGAAATGTTCCATTCAACTCAGCTTCACCTCATAGAATGGAACATTCTATCATCCAACTTAGGAAAATATTTACACCATGGCACCTTCAGGTACAAACATTTATTATCCGTATACTATTCTTCACATGTAGTGATCGGGGGGGAAAAAACTAAAAATGGAAAAAAAAAGGGAAAATCTAAAATCTAAATATATTGACAGTGAGGGCTTGACATTTAGAGAAGTGGGCAGATTCTCATTATTTTTTTATTATATTATACTTTCTAGAAAGAAAATAGCAAGGAAATAAAAGTACAGTTGAAATGAGGACGCTATGAGCTGCCAGCTTAAAGAATGGCCAATGTTGGTTTTAACGACTTCGTACTTAGATAATTATAAATTATTACCGAACAAATTGTGGCTTAAATTGAATGGTAGACCCACAACATACTACACAATCGAATCCCCAATGATGCCAAGTATAAAGTCAAAGTGGATTTTGTTCTCTTTATTTTTTAAATCAAGGGAACCGGCCGTTCTATACACAGTCGCCAAGTTCAGGGAGCATAGGCCTACTCAATATAAAATGTTCTGTAGTGTAATGTAAGAGTCTCTTCCTAGTCTTAAAATCCTATATTTGAGTGAGGGGGAAAAAATTCTTTGATCTGTGTGGCTTTTCCTAACCTTGCCAACCATGATCATCAGATCATGCTGTCAACAATGGACGGTCAGGTCATGCAGATGGTCTACTAAATATTACTAGAAACATGTTTTACAAAACAAATCACACATCATATGAATCTAGGTTGTAGAAAAAAATATTCTGAAATATTTTGAATCCAACAGCTTCTTATAACTAAGTTCAAGGCAAGAATAATGATACGAACTAACGTAGGCCGATGATTCCGGTATCCCCTTCCGAAATTCTCTCCTTCTATGCACGAGAGTGCTGCATCAGTGCGATCAGTGCACATGCATGCCGATGAACTTCTCCGCTTTTTCCACGATTTCTGCATGTGTTGATCACCACACACTCTTCTGACTACCAGCACAAGCAAGTAATTTTATCCACCTTGTCTCGAAGAACGATGAATCGCTCGTCCGAATCGCCGTCGTCCGAGGAGCTCATGGCGGCCGCCATCTTGTTGTCTAGTAGTGCTAACGCGCATGCGCATGCTCTTACTTACGGCGCCCGCTATTGGTCCATTCACCGCACCGCGACAGAAGGGCCTCGCTGATTGGTCGTTGGAAAATAATGACGTAATTCTTCACTCGGCATTTTTTGCGCCGAAACGGAGGAAATCTGAACTTTAAATCGCGATTTTGGTACCGTTTTGGGTCACGGATCAACGGTGGATTTTATATGTGGGCATCCCAACAGCTTCCTGAGTAGTTTAAAGTACAATTTGCTTAGATTTGTGGTATGCGTCGCGAACCTGCAAGATAATCGGCCATGCATCTTGGTCTATAGTCGGAGTATCATCCGTTGTCCACGGAGCCATGTCTCCGGTCCACCGTCTGATATATCTAAGAATGCAAATTTATGCGACTCCGCACGCCAGCCTATCTGAATCGACTTTACTAAATCATGACGTCATTTCATTCCCAAATCTGGACTTAGATTGTGATTGGTCGATTCGGATGCAGTGTTTTTTGAAATACAACAACGGCCGGGCACGCATAGATCTACGAAACCTATACACGACCGTGATTGGCCGGCTCTATTATTGCCTGGCGTATCGTGTAACATATCGTTACAGAGCGCATGACTTTTTGCTCAACTCACAGCGTAAAAAAGAAAAAATTTGTCGTGTCTAGGTTTTATTTATAGATATCCAAGACGAGACCAGGTATGGAAAGCGCCCACTGAATTGTCAGAAAGTCGAGGTCAAGATGCAGTCTTTTTTTCACAATTAATCGCCGAATCAGCTCACATATTATAGTTCGCAAGGGTCTATTACATAGACTAGGTTTAAACCTGCGACCTCTGGAATGCCTACCGGTGCCCTACCAACTGAGCTATCCAGCCCTACGTTGTCAGTTCCCCATTTTGTCAATGTCTTTTTTTCAAGGGACGCAACTCAGAAGCGATAAAACCTGTGTATGCAATGTAGCCTAGGATCACACCCAAAGTCACGATGCTAGCAACATCAGCAATGCTGCAAACCTTGGAAATAGCAAACGGGGATCACTCAGAGAGGACTGATCATGGGCGTGATCCCTAGCAATAAACCAAAGATTGGGGGGGGGGGTTAGGTGGTAGAATAATGAATAAACTGTGTCCGCCTCCTCTGACAAATCAGTTAAGCAGAGGAATAGATCTTTGGAATAGTCCTACCTGCTTCAGTCTTTCAATTTCTTGCTTCAGCTGATCAATTTCAGCCTCGGCTTTCTTCTCGGCCTTTGCTTTGCTTTGTCTTTCCTGTCACAGAATGAAAAAAAAATTGAGAACTATGACCACAATGCACTGGCTGCAATCAATTTACAATAATACTGTAAGCAATACGTGTGGAAGTGAATATCTTTTGTGGGTTTGTACGATTCTCAAAAGAACTGGGAAACTCTTTGTTTCAGACAGTATGCTTTGCCCAAAGCTTTAAGGATGCATTCCAAGGGTGGATCCAAGGAGGGGGGGGGGCAACGGGGACCATGCCTCCCCCCCAAAAAAAAATGTCGCATAAAGTGACGTCATAAAAGTGACGTCGCAATAAAGGCAGGCACTGCGTACACCACCATCTTTACCTCAAAAATAAATTAGTTAAAGTGGTCAAAAATCGCCTCAGATCGCACCACAGTTGCAACTAGAATCCAAAAAAATTCCGGGTCCTTAAGCGGGCCCCAAACCCCTCGCCGTAATTTTTTGACCCACTTTTGGGGTTGGGGCCCCCCCCCAAATTGTGTTCTAGATCCGCCCTTGATGCATTCCGTGTGCTGTTTTTGAGTTTATCCCCCCCCCCCCCCCCGAAAAAAAAAAATTCCTTTGCTAAATTGCAATTTTCAAGCACTACAAAAAGAATTAACCTACGTTTAGTTATTGAATTATAACTTTACAATTTCGAGTTATTGGCTGCCAGACAAAAAAACCCATTCTTATGAGGTAGGCTGGTTCCTACCCTACAATCAGTTTCAATAATGTACGGACCGGGAGCCAGTCTGCTCGCAAAACGGATCGTTTGTACCCAAAACAAAACCCTTTTTTCAGAGGTTTGCAAACGTCCAAAAAGGTTTTTAGTTGTCAAATTTTCAATGGAAAAAAGATAAATTTTTCGCCTCGGGTGCTATGCGCCCTCGGGTGTTCAAAACGTCATATCCCACATCACAGCAGTCAACAATTGTTATATTATTACCTGCTCAAGGAGATCTTTGAGTCTTTGCTGTTCATCTCTGGCATTCTTCTCCAAGCGTTCTCTTTGCTTCATTCTGTCTTCCTCTTCCTGCCATCTCATCTTCCTCGCCTCATCCCTCTCAACATCTCTATCCCTGGTTGTAAAAAAAGCAAAAAACAAAGATGTGGTTATCAAAATAATGTGTAGCTGCACCTCTCATCACACCTGTTCTCAAAAATCTCCACTGGCTACCAGTTTCTTATAGAATAATCTACAAGCTCTTGTTCATCGTCTACAAAGCTCTCAATGGCAAAGCCCCCGCTTACATCACTGACCTCCTCTCACAATACAATCCACCACGCACGCTCCGATCAAGTAATAAATGTTTACTCCATGAACCCATATCACACCGCTCATGGGGGGATAGATCCTTTTCAGCAACAGCGCCTCACCTGTGGAACCAGCTACCAATACACATTAGGACATCTGATTCCATTTTTCCTTCCAAGCATCCCTCAAAACACATCTGATGACTCTGGCTTTTGCTTAATTCATTCTGTTTGTTATCTGAGCTAGGTGCATTCCGATCACATGAGCGGCGTGGGCGTCGGTGTGCATTCGCCACATCTTCATGTCTACATCTGAATTGGAGATGCCTGGCGATGTAGGCCGACGTTCATGTTGTTCACAAGGGAGGAATGCACCTAGGTACCAGCTCCATTTCAGCATCTGTGTAATTTTTATTTTTTTTGTTTCTCTCTAGTGGTATATGTTTATTTTTTTAGTAAATTGGATTAATTGTGTTTATAGCGCCTTAATAGGTGGATATGTGCGCTTTATCAATCTTCATTATTATTATTATTATTATTATTAGGCATCTGCACTCTGTGAGTATGCTTGTGATAAATAATACTTGGGATTAACAAGATGTTGGAGAATCGGAATGAGGAGGTTCTTGGGAGTGTGAGTGGAGGCGAGTGGAGGCCTGCCTACCTCTGTCTCTGGTCTTCTCTGTAGTTTCTGTCTTGTCTTCTGTCTTGGGCTGTCGTTCGCTGTGGCAGCATCTCATGGTGCCAATGTTCCCAGGGCATGGCGACTGCAATCAACAACGATATAAGTCACATCTATTTCATGGGAAAACTTAAACTTACAGGTGCGTAGGATCATTTGTTTTTGGTGTATCTGTTATTGTTGTTGTTATGTGGGGGGGGGGGGGTTTGAAGCAATAAAATTGCTCAAACGCTTGATTAGGGTTCATAACAACTAAGCTCAGGGGCGGCGGAACCGGGCACTTCCCCCCCCCCCCCCCACAAATTTACACAAATGCCCCTCTTACGGACATAAATGTGCCCCCTCGAGCATATATGTGCCCCCTCGAGATGAAAACAAAACTGGACCTAACTGGATAATTTGTTTTCAGTAACCATTTCAGTAACCATTTCCCATGACTGGTTTTGAAGAGTGCCCTCTATTTTGGAAGATGATTACCCCCCCCCCCCCCCCCACCCACCCACTATTTGATTTTACGGAGGCCAAGTGTCCGGTGAAAAAAGAAGCGTCGACATTTCAGGACGGATGTGCCCCCCAACAAAAAATACTGGAGTGACAAAGTGCCTTGCCCAAAGGCACACCCACCAAAACCCCAGGCTGGACTCGCACCCACAACCTGCAGAAATACATGCAGACCACAAATTCAATGCTCCAGACCACGAGACCATGGCAGGGTACCGACTTTTTCTTTCTACTCTTAAATCTTACGGACGTGTCACACAAGGTGGTTTACTTAGGCATCTTGTCCAGGAAATCGCTGAGAAGAAAATGACACTGAGGTATTTTTACATTGGGCTCCGTGCACAAGTACTCCCTCAACGGTAAGAAAGGGAGAGTTGGGGGAGACCACTGGCAGAGACCTCCGAACACATTGCCGACGACGCATGACGCTCACGCGAAGACGCTATGGCTTTGCGCACATTCAGAATCAAATTTGTCGTGCGTACTTCATGCTTTAGGCAGTTCATTAGGTAGTGTGTCCAGGTTGGCTGTAAATATTGCCTGGTGGGACTTGGCCTTAGTCTCATTTGCAATTATTTCACCTTGGGTAGGGTCCAGTACTGGCATCGCACCTCGCCCGCTGTTTAGCTGAATATGTAGAACCTGGTAGAAATGATAGCTGATCTAAAGATGCAGGTAAAACAGACAATGTAATTGAAAAATTCAAAAATGTCAGAAATATTCATGTCTTTACTATCACGAGTTAATGAAGTTGAATTCGAATTCAGTATTTGTCAAGAAAATGCACAGTCAAGCCAAAACTGATATCTTATCCGCTCCATTCACAAGTACCCCCTCACCGGCAAAGAAGGAACAGTTGGGGGTGACCGACCGACGCCATCTTGCCTGACTGTAATTCAATTGCCGCGAAGTGCAGCGCGGCCACTGCGTGTAGGCCTACATAGAACAAATCCCCTGATGTACGTGCGTCACACACAAGGAACGGTGCGCGTCAACCAGCGAAATGTCCTGCCCATGGGACGTCGTTGCTAGGTAAAAGGGCGCCCTCTTTGTCGTCGCACGGAGCCCATAGATAAGTTTTCAGTTATCTGCTAGAAGGCCAATACTTTTCAGATTCGATTAACAACGTTAAAAAAAATACATTCCGCTTACCTCATACATAAGTTCATCTTTAGTCAATTTCACAGCATTTTTCTTAAGAGTGTGTTCCATCTCGGGCAACTGCAAAGACAAATTTCAGAATTTTTTCTAAATCTGGTAAATTCAATGATATTTAAGTTGCAGGAACATTTTCTTTCATTTGGCAAAATAGAAAAAACTGAATGCGTCTGTCTGATGGTATATCTCGAAATGAAAATTCTTCTTTCTAAAACAAGTCCAACAAACTTTACTTCCACGTTCAAACAAAATGTTCTGCTAGTGAGCAAAGACTTACACTATCACATTGCAGGAGGTACTTCCTCAGCAAAATCAAGACACTGACTGCCATGCTAGGTATGATGTCATAGTCTGGTGCATCCAAGCCGATGATGTACTGATCCCATACGTACATGACGGCGTCCAGACTTAGGTAGCCTGGAAAACATCAAAGCAAACAATAGGCTTACATCAACACATAGCTGCCAACTTTTCAAAATCCCAATTAGTAATCAACCCGCGTGGTCATTTTCAACTGCTCGTTTTATCAAAAGCTTTACCAACATCGATTACAGATACATGGTTTACATGTACACATACATGTGCATACCCTTCTTGTTGTGAATAATAATGTACTGGAGGCCAAAAGATAATTTTAAAAAATAATTAAAAAAATAAAAAAAAAAAAATATTTTTTTTTTTAAATTTAGTTTGTTTCAATGTCTGTATTTGTTTGTTGAAGTCAAATAATTATTAACAATAATAACGTGCGCATATTTTTTGAGATGCATGTTATCGATGTGGAGTTTCGAGTTCGTATCAATGTTTACACACGTTGATTTAGGGCCACCGTATGCAATAGAAATATCCCGTCAACATTCCTTGCAAACGCATGCTGATTTATCTTTTCTGGACGTTGTGACAAACTCAAACTCTATTACCAATTATTCCAACCATAATCCTATTAAATTCCATGATTAAAATCTCGCACTGATAGACTCATCCCAGCAAAAAGCGACCAAATGTGCTCACGATCGTCACTGAAAAGTACTCACAATTCACATACAGTACACACAACCACACATCCACGAGATGCAGCACACAAATGACACACCATTGACAAATAGTTTTAGTCTGGTCCTCAAGTACTCCACTGCGCACACTGCATTGATGTCTATCAGGTGCTTGACTGCATTCTTATTAGACTTGTCACCAGTCCATCCATTATCGCGACATTTCGCCAGAAGTTTTCGGTCAAAAACGATACTTTACAAGTATTTTTTTTTCGTTAGGTAGAAAATGGGAAATTCGTAATGTTTTAGTGGCATATCGTATTTTCGTAATTTAACAAACAATTCGTAATAATTACGAAAAATTCGTAACAGTTGGCAGCTATGTCAACATTCAAAACCAAAAATATTGACTCGAGTCCCTATGGGTAAATGACTTGACTCACTCGAGTCACTGTGAGCACATGACTCGACTTGACTCGAGTCCCTCATCAGAAGACTTGACCCAAGCGAAGGCTAATAAGACTCAAGTCCCAAAAATATATGCAAAACTTGGGGGGAAATATTTCCAAGCCAAAATCGAAGCCAAACCAGCCTATAAGGCCGACGTTTCACTTCTTGTTAACTGTTAGTGATACAAATGACTTTCTCTCTTGTCTTTATTTGTTATATAGTGTTTGAGCTAAATATTTGACCAGACTCGACTCGACTCGACTGCACACTGTGACTCGACTCAACTCGACTCGACCTTCTTGACCTAATGACTTGAGCCACTACTTTAAAAATGACTCAACAAAAAACAGTGACTCATTACAACTCTGGTTTTATCATTACTAAATATAATATGTTTTTCAACAATTTAAAGCTGTAGTCCGTTATTTGCAGCCATCCAAAAAGTAACTGACGTAATAATTGTTGAAAAACATACTAGGTTGAAAGATAGTAAGGGGACTAAACTCCCTGTGAAATTATTCTTTATGGCATGCTGTCATTTTGAAGAAATCAACGAAAAAAGGCCTTTCCAACGGTGCGTCTTTAAGACTCACCATTGGAAATTTCCGTTAGTAGTTCGTTTTTTTTATTCGGCGAAGCACGCGCAAGCGTTGACACGACGCACACGTGCACGCGGTTGCTATGATTCGTCGGATCAGTGCGCGACATCGCGCAGCTGCAATCGGCTCAGTGAGAACGTGTCTCCGACGCTGAATTCAGGCCCAATTCAAAACACGATTCAGCAACTTTTGATTTGAAATTGAGATCCTAGAATGCTGTTTTTCTCGAAATATACAGCTGACGCTGAGCTGAAACTTCATCAAGTTAGTTGTTCAGTACCCTTCTTTAGATTTTGAGCACTTTTGTTGCTTCAAACGAACAAAATGTACAAATAACAAATGATGGACAATATCTTTAACAGTTTTTCACTTCTATTTCCATTTGCACTCCATACACCCAATCTCAATTTTTGTGTGAAATTTCCAGACAGCATTCAACATCAACTTTCTGCACGAAAGGTTTCAAGCACAATTTGGGCTAATTCGCTTTTTTTTTTACTTACCAACAAAAAGACATCTAACCATTGGCCTGATTAGAGGCTTGATGCCTTGAACAACTGCAGATGACCACGCAAAGTGACCTGCGATTCAAATCAAGTAGAAAAGACAAAACGTTATTTTAGGGTTGAACAAGAAATTGACTGTAGTGGGGTTTGAACCTGCGACCTCCGGATTGCCGTTCCGGTGCTCTACCAACTGAGCTATCCAGCCCTATGTTGGCAGTTCCACATTTCGTCAATGTCTTTGTTCAAGGGGGGCTTATCAGAAGCCATCAACCTGTATATATGCCCAACTGAGTCATGATGCTAACAACATTAGCAAGGTTGCAAACTGGGAAATAGCAAACAGACATCATTCAGAGAGCTATGTGGTTTCTAGCTAACTTCGAAAAAAATAATGTAGGCAATAATATGGCAACTGCTACAGCTGAAAAAAATATTGAAAATAAATTTTAAAATACACAAAATAAAACGAAAAAAGGCAGAAGTGTTATGCCGCGTGAGGCTCACCACTGAATACTCGTTGCAAGTGTTGCGTAAGCGCCTCATCTTTTTCTTGCAGCATCCCCGCAATCCTGTTTGCAAATGACTCCATGCTCTCCTGAAAATCCTGCAAAGTTGTCAAAATTCAATATGTTGGTTTCTTAGGGACAAGGGTAATTACAACATCACAGTAACTATAATACACATTTCTTTTGAGGAGATTAAAAGAAAATTAGAATCAACACAAAAATCATAAACATTGTTGAAACTTGCAACCCTTTAAATTAAATATAAAAAAGGAACACTGACAATCATTCAGAACACAACCGCCTCACCTCCACGTAGGACTCCCTCATGTAGATTGGCCTGCTGGACATGAACGTAGCGTACTGCTCGATCAGTAGCGCCAGGGTGCTCTCCAGCACGAGTTGTTCTGGCCGTGTAGTTGATAACAAGTTGACCAGGAAAGGAATGACCAACATGTAGTCGGTGTCGATCAGGCTAGTCTTAGTCTTCTTGCAGACGTGGTGGTAGGATAGTATGGCCTTCATTGCATGCAGAATATCTGGACAGGAGACAAAATGCGTTAACGTGTGACAGAACAATACAAAGAGAGTCAGTTGCTAGGAGAGCTTACTGCCGAGTTCAGGCCGATTCATGCGTGGCGCAAATGAGAACGCAGAGCGATTTTGATGTTATGAAACCTTCACGGCGAAATTCGCTGGAATTCAGATGTGTTCCAAGACAATCATGTGACATCATAAATGTGCATTTGCGTTCCCTTGGACACTGAACAGGCCTTTCAATGTAGAGGCCCTTATATAATTGTGCATGATGGAAATTAAAAAAATATTGTCAACACCTTAACCAAAATAGTGTACACTGTCAACTGTTTGACACACAGTATCAAAATGAAGTTGGGATATATGTATGCCCTAATGTACAGGGTGTACCAAAAAAGTAATCAAAATTAATGGGCTAGTATGTGAAAGTTATGAACTTGAACACTGTCAAAGTGGTTCCATCTCAAAGGATTTCACATACTAACCTATTATTTTCGGATAACTTTTATTTTTATATACCATTTACAGAAAGTGAACCAGTGCAAAAAGGTCATTACATTAAATTGGTTCTAGTCATTAAGAAAGTTTTTTCTTCAAATTTACATGTGTAGGACACAATTGAGTCAGGCATTTTGGAAAATATAAGCAAACGACTCAGGAAGATTGCTCGCCTATGTTGCTAAATGTTTACCAACATTGGTGGTGCACAGTCCGTCCAACATCATGTTGCCAAAATTGGCAAACGTTAGCATTGTTCACATGAGGGTCGTTCTATAAATTTGGAGTCCACTTTTTTCCTGTCCCTGTTGCATCTGACATCTATGATTTTATAATTCCGATGCACTTCTTAATGCAGTCGTCCTCCAAGAGTGATTATGAATAGCAAACTACCTACCCAACAAATACAAAATCCTTTGAAGTCATTCTTCATGATACTTGAATGGCAAACAACAAAGTACAGAGGTAACTGGGTCAGAGAAAATATCACACTTTGGACCCCTACATTTTTATAGAATATCCAATAATACAGGGTGGTAAAAAAAATCTGAAACTCGTACTTCCACTACCCTGAGACTCAAAACCACATATATCAAAGAATCTTTTTAGAAGAAAAATGAAACCAAAATCGCCCGATTCAGTCCGGTAGTTTTTATTATAGAGCGTATTTCGTGAAGCAGGATGGGGGCATTTTTGTCCCTATGAATTACTAAACCTCGCCCGGGAATTTGACTTATATTTTAACTGATGTAAGATTAAATATCCACATGAAAGAAGTATCCTTCACAAAATAAGCTATGCAGCAAAAACAACTGGACCGAATCGGGATATTTTGGTATCACAATTCTTCTAAAAGGCTTCTCCATCAATTGGTAGAGGTGGTTTGAGTCTAATGGCAGTGGAAGTATGCCTTTCCTTCCGGTTTTTGTTTGACCACCCTGTAGAATTCAACCTTAGATATCCAGCCTCTACCTGTGTTGTTTGAGAGCTCCTGAAAAGTGGGCTCTCTCATCAGGAGAGCTTCGCTGGTCTGGATGACCTCCAGGTCAAGTATGGACATCACGCTGCTAGGGTCAGCCTTGAGTTGCTCCAGATATAATGACCTCACTGACGATAAAACGGCAACAAGACAAGTGTTTTACTCCCTGAAAACCACTGTTGAGTGCATTTGACAGATCAATATTTAGTCAATTTTTTTTGTTAATTCTCCAATAAAAAGTGACAACAACCTCAAATCAGAGAGTACGTCATTTTGGCTTTTCAAAATTATTGTACTACTGACAACCTATTTTTTTTTAATTAGACTGATTAAAATACAATCCGGTACATAAAAAGCTGGGGCAGTTATGAACAATTAATTTTTTACTTTTGTAATTTAGAAAGTACATTTATTAATTTAAAATGTTAATGACATAAATTCTCATTGTAGGAGCAGACACTTATTGCTTTTTCCCAAACACCCCCCCCCCCCGAATTTTTTTTACTTGTTTGCATTAAGGCGGGTTGATACGCGAATTTGTGACATAAGGGGGAGTATTCGAGCTGCGAATTCGCAAAAATTTAACACATTCAACTTCAGCGAAATTTGTAGCGAATGCTTCGTGACGTCAAGTTCGCATCGCATACCATGAAGTATGAACCTGCCTTTATAACAGAATGAACGTTGTCTGCCTGTGTCCTATAATTTTACACAGAAAAACATTATCCTTGCTTAAGAAAGTGGGTTACATGTCAAAACCTCCATCCTTCCAATGGCAATTATAGCTGAATTAGTGATCATAGACCTCTTTTTGATAGAGCTATTCCAAACTATTAAAATGTGTTTACCCTATCCTTCCATCCTTCTGCTTCAGATTACATGGCATTCGAAAATAGGGTAGGTAGGTAGGGAATTTTTTTTTTTGCAAATTTTTTTTGTGTACGATCGTATGGAGGTATCTGCGTGTAGTCAAGGGTAAAAGGTAGATATTGGTAGTTTTAGGTGTTTTTTCTCATTTTTCCCATAAATTTTTTTTATAAATTAAGGGGCTGTCAGAATAGGGTAGGTATAGGGAAACCGGAAGCAGAACTATTATTTTTTTTGGCCTAAGCAATGTTAGTCCTCGTTTTGATTGAGCAAGCTCGGCAGCTTTGACCTCTCACCCTTGGGGCTCCTGAGGTAGAGTCGCCATGCGATCTGCCTCAGTCGGTCCGGCAACGCCTGGTTGAAAAACCGACGTAGCTTGGCCTTGTTCCCAGGCCAGCTCTTAAGCAGCCCAAGAGCGCCCTCACGAGCCTGGTCCAATACCAGCTCGGACTTGGTCTCCAGGGGCGATGTCGTTAGCAACCGCTGGTTGGCATGGTTACTGAGATGCTTGTCAAGCGCATCGGATGCCGCCAGATTAAAGTTTTGAAAAACATCGCCTGTGATAAACAAAAAGTTAAGATTACGTTATGATTGATGCAGTAAATAGTCACATGTTATGATAGATGTCCCAAGCGGGATGTGGAAAAGTATGCGAAAAGTCTGAGGAGAAGTGTGGATAGAGAAAAGAAAATCTGAACGAAAACAAGTGTTATTTTCAGCTGGTGTGTCAAAAAAGCTACTTGATTTGAAAAATGTAAAATATAAAAAAAAATTAAAGCATATTCTTGATTTAGAGAAAAGAACACTGGAAGAAATATATTCCTACTCATGCATACACAAAATCTGAAGTTCCAGTTTTCTGGGGGGGGGGGTATTTAGTTGTTGTTTTTCACACAAACCATACAACTTAAAAATTCATTAAACAAAAATTCACTTTGCTCAAAACACTGACAGTACATCTGTAACATCTGTCCCGTCCTTCGGATGGGACGTAAAGCCGTAGGTCCCGTGTGTTGTGTAATGCACTTTAAGGAGCATTAACACTTATTGCTATAAAGAGAAGGGGTTTGCCCCGGTGTTTCTGGCAGTGGCTGCAATATGCGCCGCAGCACCTTGTAAACCCCTATAAGGTGCTACATAATGGGTCTCATATTTCTCATAAACTTTAATTACGTTTCTTTATTAATAGACATAATTTCCAGTGCCTTGAGTACCTAATTGTTGGTAGATAAGAGCGCTATAAGACTCCGGTGTTATTATATTATTAATACACTTCTTAGTGCCTATCTGACCTTCTTTTATTGCCTTGGCAGCCCTTTCCAGAAACAACTGTTTTTCTGGGTCGGATAGGTCAGTGAACTTTGACACGTGGCTCTCAGTCAGTTGCTGTTGAATGGCTTGGTTCAGCTCCTCGGTCAAGACCTTCCACTCCTAGAAATACGGGGCAAAATAATCATAATGTCAACAAAATACTTATTAATATTATTGTCACCATGGCATGTTCATCCATAAGAAAACTGTCACCTTCAGAAATGCAATATGGTTATGTACCTAGGACTCTACCATGTCCAAATGTTAAAAAAAGGCGATTCGTAGAGTCCTAGTTACTCGGACTAGTCGTTAGGCCTACTTCTCAACCAGTGCAGAGTACGGAAACTCCCGGGGTGATCGTGTAGTTTAGGGCCCGGTTCCTATAAGGGAACAAAATCCACTTTAAAATTATCGGACCTATCAAACTAGTTGGCGACATTCTCAATAAACAGGAATGTCATAGATAGAGGGAAGGGTTTTGATTTTTTTGAGGGAAATTTGGGGGTAAAATGATGATGACAGCGCAGCGACAACACGCGACCCGAAAATAAAGATGGCAAACACCGCGCGATGTACCGTGAGCACGCACGGCGCACTGAATCTCAAGGTACAAACCGCGCAGGGAAATCGTGATTTCTACCCCAAGAATCTGTTCAAAATTGCAAAATGGGTATCATTAGAATTGATAAAAGTCTGTTTTTTATTTCACAGGTGATTTTTGAGCAATAAAAAACATTTTTGACTCTAAAAGTCTAATTTGATCAAAACAAAACAGGGGCCCTACACTTCACGATCGCCACTCCCAAAAATTGAAAAAAGGTTCCACTGCCTTTGTTTTTACCTGATGTGTTTCAAGCTAGTACAAAGTAAACAATACAAAACTATGTCATAGGCCTATACACGTACGAGCATTAACATGATTAAGGGTGTCGGACGCTTCGCCCCATTTCCACGTTGCCCCATGTCACTTCGCCCCTAACCACTTCGCCCCATCCCCACTTCGCCCCATCCCCACATCGCCCCATCTCCGCTTCGCCCCATCCCCACTTCGCCCCATCCCCGCTTCGCCCCATCCCCACTTCGCCCCATCCCCACTTCGCCCCATGTAGTATAAAAAAGGGAAGGCTAGGGGTGCAGACCAAATAAACTGCCAAAGACCCCAGATAATGAATGCTCCCAATTCTAGAAACTCAGGAAAAATACAAACTCTCTGATGAGGTGCTCGAGACACAGATGAGAGAAATGATGGCTTAAATAAAATCATCAGCCGCTGGATTCAAAAGAATCCCGTAGGTATGGGTCAGTGAGTTCAAAGGAACTCACTGCCTTGAGGAAAATGTTCCGTCAAAATTTGTCTGATATGTGAGACTTACAACTTCATTGATGAGATTGGTTCCTCCAAGAGTGAAATTAGGATGTCAAAGGTATTGTCGTTCTCAGATAAGTGGGAGACGGGTTGGTATAGCCGGGTTGGGAACAAAGTTGGATCTTTTACTTCAAGCTTTTTTCTCGGTAGGGGAGAGCCTAGCTTGAGAGGTTGGTTATGAATTGTTCATTTGGTGATGGGCTAATTCTTTCCGTTGGTTAGCAATTAGTGAATCTATTGAAATAGTTTTTTTTTAAGCCAAAAAAATAGATGAGATTTTTTTTTTTACATGTAACGGCTGGGGCGAAGTGGGGATGGGGCGAAGTGGGGATGGGGCGAAGTGGGGATTGGGCGAAGTGGGGATGGGGCGATGTGGGGATGGGGCGAAGTGGGGATGGGGCGAAGTGGTTAGGGGCGAAGTGACATGGGGCGACGTGGAAATGGGGCGAAGTGTCCGACATTCCATGATTAATAATGTTGCGTAAAAGGAATGGGTTTTGGGGCGACTGTGTCAGTCCATGGTCCTTTTGCATGGGCAGTGGGGCGACTTGACCAAAATCATCATCTCATTTTTTGACAAAATATTAACTGAAAATAAAGTGCAAACCATGAAAAAATTTTCAATCTTTACAACACGATAACAATTTCAGATTGATACTTGTACAAATGCACATCTGAATAACAAAATATACTAACATCTGTCTGTACAATTTCACTTTTACAATCGAGCAACCAGCGCGGATGAGCAGATTTCACTGGAGCCGCCATGTTGTTTACACCTGCCAACCAAGTCAGCGCGATGGCACACACAATTCTATTGGCCGAATGAGGAATTCGGGGTACATCTAAGCTAATGAACGTCCTCGTTTAATACCGTGCGTAATCAAATTGGGACGAACAAAAACATGGCCGCCTCCATTGTCGCATTCGTCGGTCTGATTACGGGTAAGAAATTGTGAAATAAGTTGTAATCAACCAATTTTTACAATACTGATGACATACAGAACTATTGCTTGAGTATTTTTTCTCATTTAGATTCACACATTTGTTCATTTTTTATTTATTCAAGGTGTTTTTGCGGCAACTTTTGATCCGTATTTCCCCCGCGATTTGACTGTTGCTGAACCGAACTTAGAGGTTAGTCTTGTTTCAGTCGCCTGGCGCATGCCTGGGTTTGCAGTTTCAATAAATGAGTAATAAAATCGCAATGTTGTAAACTCGTTACCAAAGTAGGCCCCCAGTCATGCTAACCTAGTCTTATTTATATCTTTGCTTTTCTTGTGTCCAGATCATTGTGGGAAGTCCTGCACCCCCCCCCCCGGCTTAGCCCCCCCCCCCCCCCCCCCCCTGCTTAGCCTCCCCTTTACTAGCCTCCCTCGCCCCTTGATGCCATTATATGCAACTTAATAATGGGTTACATGGTCAGAAGATTAGCAACTGTGTTTTAAAATCCTCCGAATATGTGGTATCTGCAATTTACATTTATTAATTCCCCCATTCCAACCTTTAAACCAACCCCCTCAAACCCCCCCCCCCCTTTTTCAACCTAGACCTCGATATCCCTTCAAGTATGCCCCCCCTTTCTTTTCACCACCTACACCCCTCCTGTTTAATGGAACATTTTGAAAATTATCTTTTTATCAGATTATAAAATAGTACTTGTTCTGAATTTGAAGTACACTGATTCACGTCAAAATTGTCTTGCAGACTTAAATGCAAACTTATACTTTGTAATTTTTCAGGGACATCATGCTACCACAGGGGAAGATCTTGTGTTTATTATTCGTAGCCAGCAGGCAAGTCCTCACGATCAGTGGGCTAAACAAGTCAAGGCAGACATAGAACAGCAGTATCGTATCTTGAATTTGGTAAGTCTTGACCACAGGTCACAGGCTTAGATTCACATGATTCAGATGTCAACTTCCGGTTGAAGAAAAATTATGCAAAACATGGGCAGAATTTTTTTAAAATTGGAACATAACTCCATTATTTTCCTCCCAAAGTTTCAAAAGACAACACAGATTTGTTTCCCTGCCTGATTTGAACATCAGATAAAATCTAGAGGTTTCCGGGTTTTTTTTTATTTACACAACTGTAAAAAGTTCCAAAGTGTGGAAGTTTAAAGCATTGTTCTTTCTTTCTTGTTTCAGGGCAACCCACAAGTTTTTTTACTGCATCAACAGTATGAGTTCAGCGGCGTGTGGACAATTCTGCCTGTATTACCTAAGTATGTTTAATTGACCTTTCCTTGGAAAATATCATAAAAGACTAGTGTTCTCACATCTCATTTAGTATCTTGGATAAACTGCAGCACAAGTTTATCCACAGAAGGCTCGTCGTATCAGGTGATTTCTTGCTCAATGTCCAGAATCATCCCAAAATGAAGTTAACAGTTTGTAAACATTCCCGTCTCCCAGAGATTTTGGGAAAATTATTCAGAATCATGCAACTATTGACCAATTCAGTTCAATGGGCTTATTGCTGACCAACTTTTCCACAACTGATCCCTGACATCTAACCCTCCTATGCAAACATAGTGCCAACTTGTCCTTTCAAAATCAATCAACCGACTGTTTTAAAAAGAGCTCCCAGCCTACATAAAGCAGGACAGACTGGCTGTGACTGTTTATTTAACTTGATACAGCTGTGCTTTGACTGTAGGTGATTGATAAGCCAGCTGTGCCACTAGTTTTCTGCTTTTGTCTGTTGGCTGAATTTGACTTTTCAGAGTTCTTGCTTAAAAATGTGATCTGCCTGTTGGTGACTAGCCCGTGTAAAAGGCATGGCAGGGGAAGTGGATGGCATTTTTGACAGTCTGTGACTGTTTAAACAGTAGGAGGGTTAATAAGATGACTCCTTATTTTCAGGTTTAACATTTAAAAATCATTTCAATGAAATCAATGCAGGCAGGAATTTATTTCAGAGAACTGCTATTAAGCACCCAGGTTATTTTGCTCAGGCAGGAATTTTTAACTGGTCAAAAACAATAGTCAACGTATCAAAATGCAAAAAAAGACATTGAATGTAATTGGCAATTAAATATGCAAAGCAACACTCAGTAGCATGTTACAAAATAAGGTTAGACAGATAAGCAAGTGTGTTTGCAGAGATCGACTAATAAGTCCAGTGCAGTCCAGTCTTATACACGTAAAGGTAGCATTGTCTGTAAAGAAATTTCCAGATCTGGTACACGGTACCCTGTGGAGACGTGTGCATAATAGGAACAAAAGATTGTAAATGTCTCCACAGGGCAATTTCTATAGGTGAATACACCACTTCCTTTTTCTCATCAAGATTACATCCCTGTAAACTCACAACAGACTTTTGTTTCATATTTCAAACCATTTTGTAAAGATTGAATGAGGATTTTGGCCAGGCCAAATGGTTATTCTTCTGTGAGGAACAGACACGAGTCAGCGTCCACGGTCTGCTGCAAGTTCTTACCAAGTATAATCCACAGCAGGTATTCATTCACTTTTTTCTCGAATTCTTTTGCTGGTTTTGTAAGATTTCCAAATTTTAATTTTGAATTTTAAGGGATTATTTTTTTATGAATCTGGGTTGTATCAGTTCTATGTTGTTGGACTAATACCACGATATGTTTCTCTGCTTGGTGTCTTTAAAGCTACAGTCCATCATTTGTAATTTGTGCATTTTGTTCGTTTGAAGCAACAAAAGAGTTCAAAATCTAATGAAGGATACTGAGCAACTAACCTGATGAAGCTTCAGCTAAGCTTCAGCTGTACATTCCGAGAAAAACAGCATTCTAAGATCTCAATTTCAAATCAAAAGTTACTGAATCATGTTTTGAATTGTTTTGAATTGCAGCTATACGCGACGTCGCGCACTGATCCGACGAATTACAACAACCGCGCACGCGTGTGCGTCGTTCCAATACTTGTGCGCGCTGCACTGAATAACAAAACGAACTACTAATTTAAATTTTCCTACGGTGCTTCTTAAGAATCACCATTGGAAATGCCTTCTTTCGTTGATTACTTCAAAATGACAGCTTCCCAGAAAGAATAATTTCACAGGGAGTTTAGTTCCCTTACTATCTTTCAACCAAGTTTGTTTTTCAACAATAATTACGCCAGTTACTTTTCGGATGGCTGCAAATGATGGACTATAGCTTTAAGTGTTTGGCTCTGTTCCTGAACAGTAGGCCTACACTTTGCAAATGTCAACCGCCAAATTAAAGCATCACAGTTTTTATTGATGGACATGTGAGGTGCCATTTCATGAACTTTTCTTTTGCTGAACATGTACAAAAATGTAACTACACTAAATTTCGGGACCATCTCCCTCAGAACAACGTAGGGGTTTATACTGGCTTGTGAAATCACAGGCAAATGCTGAGAGTGATCCCATAATAATTCAGAGTGAACCCACAATTGAAGCTTTCTTCATCTATCTTTGGAATATACATTAAAAAAAAAAATGGTGAAATCCATCTGACAGTATTTAAGTTTATGTTTAAGTCTTTGAAGCAGCATTGTAACTGTGAACAGAAATTAAACTTATATTTTTGTGTTATCCTCAGGAGTGGTTTTTAGGCCGTGCTTTACAAGACCGAGCAGCCTCTGTCATCCATCACTACCGTTTCCATGACGACCCATCCAAGTTCTCCTACCCTGACTTTGAGGCAGGCTGGCTGATCAGTACTGGTCTTTTGCGCGGGTAATTCAAATCACAACAAGATCAATTTTGCTTTTGCTGACTTTCACATTTATACAAGAAAAGTGCTTAATCAGGGAATTCTGGGGTGCAGAAATGTTCGGGCCAAAAAAAGAAGGCATCCTGAAAGTAGAATCTGTTAACGTTTATGTTAACCTTTTGTTTGATCAGTCACAGACAGTCAAAACTTCAATCTTGGTCCCTGATGCCTTTTACACAGGCTAGTCACCAACAGTCAGGTCATATTTCCTGTAGGCACTGTGACAGTCAAATTCCATCAATAGACAAAAGCAGGTGACTGGTAGGCACAGCTGGCTTATCAATCTCCTACAGTCAAAGCATAGCTATTTCAAGTTTCATAACAATCACAGCCAGTCAATCCTGCTTTATGAAGGCAGGGAGCACTCAACTGTTAAAAACAGTCACTTGATTTATTTTGACTGCTGGGCTGGCCTTGTTGAAATTGCCAGCCAGAGAGGGAGGGTTAATGTTTATGTAAACAATTATTTTTTTTCCCCTGAAGTCTTTGCGTCAGAGAAAAAAACTGGACACAAAAAGCTGTAAGGATCTCAAACGCTGTTGTATTTTGTCCTTTTACAGCCTTGCCGACAGATGGGAAACCGAGGAGCATCGAATGGATTTCTCCATTGATGTCAAACACGAGGTAAAATAGTTGGAATAACCTGGCTCAGGATATTTTTTTGTGGATGTCATAAATCCTTCAAAATATGTCACAGTGTCCAAGGGCGGATCCAGAACACAATTTTTTTGGGGGGCCAAAAAATTTTGGTCCCCCAAAAAAGTGGGTCAAAAAAATTACGGCGTGGGGTTCGGGGCCCGCTTAAGAGCCCCGAACATTGTTTGGATTCTAGATGCTCTGTGGTGCGATCTGAGGCAATTTCTGACCACTTTAACCAATGTTTTTTTGAGGAAAAGATGGTGGTGTACTCATTGCCAGCCTTTATTGCGATGTCATATAAAAAATTATAAAAAATTGGTTTCGTTTTGGGGGGGCCATGGCCCCCTTTGGCCCCCCCCCCCCTGGATCCGCCCTTGACAGTGTCCCATGGTTAAGAATACAGCAAGCCTGTTAAAAATGAAAGTGTGAAGTTTCGGGAACATTCACTCCGTAATTCAAAGACTTTTATGGATTATTATTATTTATTTTTTTTGGCTAATTTCTTTTACCTCCAAGTTCCAAGATGATTGAGTAGACCGATATGTCTTGTTTCCTTTTCAGTTGGCCTATTACATATTGAATGACGGTAATGGCACTCGACTGACAGCCCTGCCTGCCCTATGTGCTGGAAATGTTGAGGAGAACCCTGCGCCCAGGTCTGACAGTGAGATCAGAAAGGCACTGAACAAGGCAATACGAGATGGTCCCCAGGAGGAGGATGGGTGTGTCTCCGCCCACCCAAAGGGGCTACCTACTTGTGTAAGTTCAGTCATAGCCTATCAGGCTGCAGTTAAAGGTAATATATAACATTTGCAATCATAAAAAAACAAAACTACCCAAATATGATGCAATACCTTACTTAACTGTAAGTGAATAATAATTTCAAACATCTTGTGACATCATGGCACCTGGTGTGCTGTCATTTTAAAGTAAATGGAATTTTTGTATAAATTTCCAACAATGGTCGGCCGACCATTGTTGAAAAAAAACTGATTTTATTTCAAATACTGCCCCCAATTTACCAAAGTTAGTCCAGATTTTGTTTGCAATCGATTACCCATCTGTGAAGGGGTGCAAGCCAGCTATAATCACTTATGTACTTTTCAAGTTGCGGAATTTTAAACACAACCACCATTTCAAAGTTCTCTCCACGGATCACAAAAAAAGGTAAGTGTTCTTTCAGCAAAACGAAAACAATTCACACACATCCCTATGTGTTTTTTGTTTTCGTTTTGCTGAAAGAACACTTACCTTCTTGTGATCAGTGAACAGAACTTTAAAACGGTGGTTGTGTTTAAAATTCCGTAACTTGAAAAGTACATGAGTGGTTGGAATTATTCTTGTACTAAAAGAAAGCTTATGGATTGGGCTTTCATGTCCTAGATTTTGAAAGTGCTACATGCAGAACTTCACTAAAACAATGGTCTCGACATTTGTGGGGGTTTTTTTTTTCAGTTCAGTTTTGGGATTTTACCAGATTGATAAAATATTGCACTTCACATCTTGTAATGTGTTTTCATGTGTACAGGCAGAGGCCGTTCTCAAGGAAGACATTCTGTTTGCAGTGAAGACATGCAAGAAGTTTCACAAGGACAGAGGTATTTTATTACAGAAAAAGACAAATGAAATAATACTGCAACTATAGCTCTTGATCACTGACGTCTTGGGCCGAGACTACATGCGCGCGTGTGTAGAACATTTTGCACACTGCGCGCATGTGCACCTGATGGGGTTGGACGCACAGTTGTAATTTGCCTACAAAGATGGCTGTCTATGAGAGAGGTCTATAGCGTGTGACTTGACTAGGGACTGGAAGACTTATGATTAACGTTTGACTCCACTTCAACACTGTACTAGTACAAATGAATGGACTAGTAGTCTCTTTGTCAACAACTGTCAATTCCTTAGTTTTGTTTCTTTTTCCAGTGCCCATCGTACAGCAAACCTGGGGCAAGCATACCAGCCACATCGTCTTTGTCAGCGACGTCCAAGACGACACCATACCCACCATTGCCTCCGGAGTGCCCAACACTGAGAGAGGCAAGTAAACACACAAAAAGTCTGATGTTAAAATAACACCCGTTTCATACTTGTTTCTAGATTCGAACAGAACCAAACAGTATGTACAGTGACTCAGGTTGTCCCAAATAGTTTTGGTTTCAGACAGTCAAACTTTCCACTGACTAGACCTGGAATCATTTGGAACACCTGCCACAGTCAGTCTTTCGTGCGTTGCTCCCAATTGTTTCATACGTCAATCTTAATCCAAATCTTGGAAAGTATTGGCTCTTTGTGACTCTGGAATGCCAATCTGAAATTTGTGTAATCGATACATGGTCACTTATTAGACCAATTTCTGTTAATAAAGATAAAGAATGTCTTATGCACTGCCCAGAGTAAACTCGAACTAAGATTTAGTGATGGGGTCCGGCAAGACTTGTTCCTGTTAATTAAGAAAAACTTGATCACTTCAGAGGCAGATTTTTTATAATTGAAGAGACATACATGTAGAAATTGTTTTAAGATATTCCTGAACTACAAGATCTGGGTCGTATATATGGTTAAAACGGTGTTGAAAATAAAGCTCAAGTTAAGGAATAGCGGCTATTTACAGAAGAATGGTCAAAAACTAGTTTGTCCACGTCTATGGCAGTCATGTAGACCTAGTTACAATAATTGCAGTTCTTTGTGCGCACAGTACTATTATTGTGTTGACCATATCTTATAGACTTGCGTGTGGATAAACTGGTTTTTGACTATCTTTTTTTAAACTATCGCCATTTTTTTTAATTTAGGCTTTATTTTCAGCGCCATTTTCATCATATACCACAAAGATGCTGTAGTTTAGGAATATCTTGAAACAATTTTAACATGTCTCCCCAATTCCCAAAAATCTACGTCTGAAAAAGTGTACAGGTTTTTTTGGACCACCCTGAACACACACATAAATCTCAAGTCCTCGCAATCACAGGTTATCCATGTCAAGTGACCGACTATTTGTTGAATTTTATTTTTGTTCCGTGATTCTGTTACCGTGACTTGTAATTTGACTTGTCACTGACTGATAATAACTTGGTCAGATAATGCAGATATCATACGTTGTGTAAAAAGCTGCAAATTTCTTGGTGGCTCTGGCGTAAACATTACATGATTCTCCATTTGATATACTTCAGGACACTGTGGCAAGCTGTTTGCCATCTTTGAGATGTTCAACTCCAAGCCTGAATACCTCAAGTACTCCTGGCTGGTAGTAGCTGATGATGATACCATACTCAGGTAAGACTCCTCATCACTAACGTAATAAAGATGTGACAATCACACGTTTAAACCTTCAAAAGAAGGGGAAAAAACAAATCTGTTTGCAAAAGTGTAACCAAAATCCGAATTGTAAAAAGGGACCTACGTTCACGCGATCTTCGTTTGAGTTAAACCTACGTAGCACAAATAATCAACGACGTTTTCAAACTTATTTAATTTACAAAACCTGTATCACAGTGCTTGATTATATTCGGGGTACAGAAAGTGAAGTTTTGAAATTTTTTCAATGACTGCTGGTCTGCAGACATAATGGGCAGGCAGCTGCCTTCATAAAATGGCTAAAAGTTGAATCAGTTCTTAAAATATTTCCTAGCGTTTACAAAATTAAATGCAAAGTCACATCCTTAGAATGTAATCACAATCACTATGTCAACAAAAACCACCACCATTGACATGGTATTAAACATTAGTGGGGCGCTGTGGTCCAATGGTTACGGTGTTGGACTCGTGTGCCGTGGTACATGGGTTCGAATCCTGACCGTGGGAACATGGTGCTTGTGCTCTTGAGCAAGGCGCTTTACCATTATTGCTTCGTCCTTCGGATGGGACGTCAAGCCGTTGGTCCCATGTGTTGTGTAATGCACGTTAAAGAACCCAGTAACACTTATCGCTAAGAAAAGGGGTTTGCCCCGGTGTTTCTGGCAGTGGCTGCAATTTGTGCCACAGCACCTTGTAAACCCTTGTAAGGTGCTACATAATGGGTCTCATATTTCTCATAAATTTCATTTACCTGTCTTTAATAACAGACATAATTTCCAGCGCCTTGAGTACCTAATTGTTGGTAGATACGTGCGCTATATAAGACTCCGGTATTATTATTGTTGTTGTCTTTTACAATTCCGGTAAGCAAGCATCATGAATAAGAATTGCATTTTTCTTTTTTGTCTGCTACAGTGTAGCCAGATTGCGAGCACTCTTATCTTGCTACAATGCCAAGAAGCTGGTATTTCTGGGTGAGCGGTATGGCTACGGACATCTCAAGCTGGGCTGGGGCTATGACTACCTCACAGGGGGTGGTGGGTAAGTTTAAAATAACTGTAAGAGTATTATTTTAAACTGTATCATCATATCTGTGAACTGTAGGAGTATCCAAACACTTGGAATGCTTGGAACATTCTGTCAGGAGCACTGCTTTTTCCAATTTCAAAAAAATAGTTGCTGTTTCATTGTGAACAGCATGAAATGCTGGGTGGTCCCATATTAGAATGCTGGTCTAGAGGCCCGTATACTAACTTGAGAACAACCTCATTCACTAAGAAACCAATTTTTTCCCATTTGGGAAAACAGTCAATACACAACGGGAACGTTAGAAGTTTTCAGACAGTTCGCTATGGAAAGTGATGTCCCAGAGACGAAACCCTCCCAAAATTGTTCTTTTCCTTTGGAAAAACACATTTTCTTGGGTGTAACTGTCAATTGTGCATTTGATCTCATTATTAAGTGCTGAGCATAATCTTGTTATACAAGAATACTGCAACAGAAGTGAAATACTTTCGGGCACCCAACTTTTCGCTGCAGTATACCCTGCTAATAGAGTCACTTAAAAGTCCACACAAAATAGGAATTTGTTGTTCTAGTTCTTGAACTATTTTTGTAGTCTACATTGTTCATGACGTAAACCATCAACTGCAATGGCCAATTATTAGATGTATAAACAAAATTTGGAAGAAAAATCAATGGAAAGTATGCTTCTGTAACACAGCGTGCACACAGTTACACCAGTGTCAATATTCCGGGCCAAATAAGTTATAAGCCAGATTCATTATAACATTACATTTCCAAAAATTTTGAAAAACATCTTTTTTCCTATTTCTGTCTCGTCAGAATGATCTTCAGTCGCGCTGGTATACAGCAACTTCTAGCCACCGGCTGCAAGTGCAACAAAGATGAAGACCCTGACGACATGATATTTGGGATGTGCACCAAGCGACACGACATGCCTATCACCCATTCACCACTCTTTCACCAGGTAGGGCAGTTGAAGGAGGTTGGGAGTTGACACATAGTACATGTAACAAAATTTGACTTTTCAACAAAAGAGAAGAAAATTGACACTATTTTGAACCTCTCCCACATAGTAAGACTTAAAATCTTGAAACTGAAGCCTATGCCAAATCATAGACAAACTTTGTCTTTAACCACTTAGCGCCGGGTTTATTATTGCCAAAAATGTTGAAATTTTCAAAAGGCAAATTTTTCCAGCCAACTTCTGATATCCAAACGCCACAGATACTGGTTTGCAAGAGTGATTTCAACAGTATTTGTGAGATACTTCTTGCCGAAACCTCATATGTTTCAATACTCTGGGGTTTGCACTGGAGCATAAATTGTACAATAGGCCGTGCACAACGGCCCACACAACGGTCAGCACACGGTCTGCCTCCACAGACTACATGGACTTTGTGTGTTTAGACATCACCTGGCGGCGAATCAAGGCAATTTTGACGTTTTAACCTGTCAGCCGTGCCTGTGCACAAAAACAGCCAGTGCGTGTTATCACGGCCTCTGGCGCGAACTAAAAGGGCTGGGGGGGGGGGCCAGATCCCCCCTCAGCCGTGAGATGGGCCCAAAAAAACTGACCCTTTTAGGGTGAAGTCTTCAGGTTTGTTCCATCTTGGTTTTAAGGTATTCACATCTCAATCTCTACATAACATGTCTCCAACATGTTATCGTCTCATGGATGGGAGAAGTTAACTGACAGAAGGGAAATCCACCAGATGACTCAACTCTACAAGATAATCACTCACACCATTGCCATCCATGCTTCAGACTGTCTTCAACCAAAAATGCAGAGATCCAGGAGGGGGAACAACAACCAATTCAACATAGTACAAACATCCTCAACTGCATTCAAGAATTCTTTTTTTCCAAGGACCATTAAATTATGGAATGACCTGCCCCAACACATCACTGACTCTATGACGCACAAGACCTTTAGGGACAACTACTAGTACTACAACCACATCATGAACGAGACCTAGGTGCCGACACCTCCCCGTGACCTCCTAGTCAAGATCCCTAGAGGATGTTTCAGGAGGAAACTAACAAAGTACCAAGTATAAAGCTTTACTAATGTAGGTATGCACTAATGAATGGAAAATTAAGCCCTTCATCAAATTCGCATTGCCATTGCTTAGAGGGTCACTTTGAATGCAGATTCCATAGGTGTGTTAGTCGTTTTCATCAATATTCATGACCATATTAATATTCAGTACTTATCAATATTCATGGAATTCCCTACCACCAGGCCCGCCCCTCGGACTACGCAGTAGGCTACCTCCAGCACCAGACCCCTGTCTCCTTCCACAAGCACCTGAATGCAGACCCGCTGGCAGTCTACAGGGATTGGTTCAAACATGCTGATGAGGTGGACTCCAGAACACATGGGGCACAGGGAGAGAGGGAGGAGTTATGATGGTCAGTGCCCTTGGTCCTTATCATATTGAGATGATTGCAATTAAAGTTTGGTTACTAGGATAGCATTATAACTAGACCCATTTTTAAAGAAGAATCTGAAATTTGGACACGGAGTAATTCTCTAGCTTAAATTCAATCCCAATTCATTTATTTTGTTAGCAAAAGTAAAAATGTGCTAATTTAGGTAGCCCTCATGCATCTGCAATGAATTTTCCAATTTCCTCAATTCCGGTGATTCACAATGTAGTGCGCCACCAAGAGTTTGCCTCGGAGAGTCCATTTTTCAAGTTAATGGTCGACAAAACATGGCCCATTTGAATGAGTGTCACTAGACAACTTGAGCTAATTTGAAACAGATTGGGCAAAGCGTTCTGCCGCCTTACAGAAAAAAACACCATATTGATAAAAAGAATTTCAAATATCCCACGCTGCATTGTGAATCGCCCGAATTGTTGCTGTGTAGTCCCATCAACTATTCAAACATTTTATTTGTATGCCGATAACTAGCTCTTCAGTATAATATGTGTGTGCTAAATGGCTGCCATTAAGAATGTTGTCTTTTTAAAGTAATTGTGAATATCAAAACAAATCTTGCCAAGTAACCACGTTTGCAATCCAAGTCATTTTATTTTCCTTCAAAGTAATAGCTTTGTAGCGCACATAAGAATATACCAATTCACTTTTGTCAATCTTAGTTAGTAAAGGTTTTCCTTAGGGCCCATCTCGTTCATATCCAGGAAGAGTTCCAGACAAGTTGCGGGTAGAATCGTTCACTTTGTCTGGAAGAAGCTCTGCATTTGTTCCGGACATGTTCCGGGGAAATTTTCATTAGCAACTGCTTGACTCACCCCAATACTGATAACTTCATTGCGGGAAGATTGCAGGGGAAGTTGTTCCGAATCCTGCAATTTATACCCAATACAATGTCCGGAACTTGTTCGGAAGTTGTGCCGGATGTGAATTGAGAAGGGCCCTTTAGTTGTCCAGGCCACATTTTAACAGCTTTACCGCACAATTATTTTTGTATTTGGGGGCATTTCAGTTTGGACACCTTGAACATACGTGCTGCAATTGAAATGTAGATAGAAAAAAATAGGTTGTTGGATGTTAACTTTGATGCGGTGAATGAAATTAACTTTTTAATCTACAGGTTGTGTGCAGGCCGTGATCTATATTTTTAACAAAAATATCACTAGATTCTAGAAAGTCAGGCCTAGCATCAGAAGTATGAAATTAAGTGGATTTTGAGAATCTTTCAGCCGGTATAACTGCCTTTTAATTGTGTTTTTAATCAGATAAGTTTATTTTATTTCACTGAGGGGTGGAGTTTTACAGCACATTTTAACTAATTCACCGAGGGGTGAAGTTTTATAGCACATTTTAACTACTACGCACAAGTCATTAATGAAATACTAAAACCAATGTTGTTGTAGCAGCTTCTCCCAACACAAGTTAGACATGTGACATTTGTTTGTAAACAAGGTCCTATTAGACTGGAGACATGACCTCATTAATGAGGATGGGTAATACCCTCACAGCATCTGGCATTTCATTGGTAGTCATTCTGTAACGATTGGAACTTCCCTGTGGTTTGATTGGCCTAGTTCTCAAGTATCTCAAGCTCCGACTCTTTATCTTGGAGATAGAGGTAATGTTAGGACTAGGCTCACATGTGCTCTTTATGTGTTAAGTTTATGACAATATGGCTGATATTTTTGCAATCTTTAAACAACAGTAACATATAGTAACAGTATCACTAAGACGTTTTCAGGGTGTTTTATAGAAAGAAATAGTTTGTTCAGGTGTTTTATAAAATAACATAGTTTTATTATTACAATTCATGTTTACATATATAGATTTTAAAAATGTACTGTTGGTATTTTTTCAAATAAAACGTGGGTAGAGATTTTGTACACCGGGTAGGATACAAGCACTTCAAAAATGACTTTACATTTGGTGTGACTAAGCGCTGTTTATCTTTCATATGGTAAAGTTTATATTTTTGAGTGAATAAAGCATGGGAGGTTCTTGTTTCAACAAATTAGTGTTTAATGAATTTATTTTTTTTAACCGGAGTTTTATTTCACCCTTTAGTACTGTAACGGCGACCCAAAGAGGCCAACCGTCAGTTGGGGGGATTAACTAATTAATCAAAAATACATGGATGTTGATCACAAAATAACCGACAAAGGGACAAGTATATGCAATATCAGAAAATAGAAATAATGACAATTTAATTAGCGCTTCTTCGCTTACAAAATAATTAACCAGGGGAGAGCATGTAAATATAAATGATAGAATTGAAATAGTTACTGACAGAGCAGAGTTCAGACTGGCATCACTACGATGCAACACCGTAGTCTACAACCAGGCCATGTAAAAACTACTGGGTGCAAGGGGGGTAATATTGGAACATACTCACAAGACTATGCAGACCACTGAACCCTTTGGTGTAATGGTCAGTGTTGTAGGTCTCGAGACCGGTCTCGGTCTCGAGACCGGTCTCGAGACCACTTTTTGCCGGTCTCGGTCTCGGTCTCGGAAGCTGTGGTCTCGGTCTTGGTCTCGGTCTCGGTCCCCTTTGGTCTCGATATTTTGGCTGGTCTCGGGTCGAGACCGGCAATATGTAGCTTTTACAGCTCGATCGATTACTTTGTGTTCACTTCGTTCAGTACCGTTGTTATTTAAAACATTTACTAGCCCGTAGATCAAGCTTGTTATATATCGCGGTCGGTTTGGACTCGACTGCACGTTGGAAAGTCCCCAAAGTACATGTAAAGCTGCAGCAGTACCAGTCACTGAACGATTTGGAACAAGTTCGGCATTTATCTGTTGAATCGGCCACATAAAGCAAAGTATAAACTTGTAACAATTTATGCAATAAGGGTCAACCATTTTCGGGGATTGTGTAGTTTAGCCCACCCCTGTGGGCGTAATCACTTGCATTTTGTATTCTGATAATAAATGAGGTGCTTCAAATTAGTTATATTTTCGACCCCACACAATGTTCTCTTTAATTTGGGACAGTATTTTGAAGAAAAAGTAAATTTTTCTACCTGATTTTCCAGCTTTGAACTCACACACTCTTACCAGTTACCACTCACTGTTGCCATGAGAGTGTATGATGAGACCCCATTTTCTGGCTGCTCATTTTAAAGTACCCCATTATTCCTCAAAAATTAAAAATCCCGTTCAGAAAAAAATTAAAAATCCATATCTGGCACATTCTGGCTACCACCTTGCGACTTGTGGGTCTACATGTACAAGTCCACATTCTATGACAAAAATATAAAAATTAATTCAACATTTTCTAGCTCCCATTTTTTTAAAATCAAGTACACAAGTCTTGTTAGAAGTTAAGTCCTAAATTTATTTTAGGAAAAAAGAGGCAATGTAAAATTTAAATTGCATCTTTAAATATCCGTTAGAAGTCATAGCTGAAACCAAGGTGGTGACTGTGGAGTTTAGGATCCGAGTTCCTATAACAGATGAAACATCTACCTTTAACTTTTTACTTTTGTCACGATTGGGTGTAGACAACATGTCAAAGCCCATATTTCTTAAGTGTAACTACTTTTTGCTCAAGTAAGGTGTCATGTATCAATTTTTCAACACTGCCACTGGTCGAAATTTTGGTCTGTATTCTTTGTGAATAGAAAGGTTACATTTTTCAACTATAATAACGTGTCTTGTTTTTTTTTATTTCGACTATTGTTATTCATTATCAGCGGTCTCGGTCTCGGTCTCGGTCTCGGACCATATTGGTCTCGGTCTCGGTCCGCCTTGAAGGGGCTGGTCTCGGTCTCGGTCTCGGTCTCGAATCTTCAAGTCTCGGTCTTGGTCTCGGTCTCGGACTATCCGGTCTCGACTTCAACACTGGTAATGGTGGTGGTGGTGATGCAAATTAAAGAACACAGCGTCTTGCACAAAAACGAAGGCCAAATTAAACTAGGCTTCCACCTTCAGCCATACATGTACAGGAACTTAGAAAATATGGAACTAAAATGCACACCACCATCCACCACCATCCACCACCATGCCCCAGTCGCAAGTCCACACCCTACTGGGCTTTCAAAGGGGTTTTATAGTGCTGGGTAAAAATATGCATAAGAATTTCAAGATTAGGCATACTAATGCAGTGTGTCTTTCGTACTGGGAGATATTTGCATAATCACTAAGTACAGAGGTATGGGGGCAAGGAACTTATATCCCAGTATTGTGAGAGTAAACAATAAAGACTGCCATGAGAGCTCCATCTGTGGTTTGACTGCAACCCAAATACTATTCTATTGTGGTGTAAAGTAGGTTAAGACTTAAGTTGAACAAAGTAAGCTCTGAAATAGTTTTGTGGCATTAAGCTGACTTGAGAACAGGTGTAATACATGACTGCTATGGATTACTGTGGCCAAAGTGCTCTCTATATAGTTTAAAGGTGCAATTAGGACCATTATAAAATCAAATTTTGTTACAGTAGTCACACAACTTATGAAAAAATAAAGAATCAATCCCTCCCAGACACCCTTCTGGAGTGATTTCAACAGTATTTGTACGATATTTCTTTCTGAAACCTCATATGTTTCAATACTCCGAGGTGTGCACTGGAGCGCAAATTGTACAACAATAGCCCCCCCCCCCCCCCCCCTCAGGTGACCTTGCAATGACAGAGAACAGTCGGCTACTGAATTCTCAGGATCAAACATTTCAGTCACCAATTTGTGACCTGAGTGCAACTGCGACGATTTTAACATATGATTGGCATCAGTCGGGGCTAAAAAATTGACAGTCGCAAAAAGTAGAGAAAATTCAACCTCTGCGCCGCAACAGGATGTGTTCCAGACAGGCGAGATCAATCTGATTTTATGGTATAGCTGATCAACATGGGGAAGAAATTTATTGAGAACAGACAACCTGGTTGAACAATACAGGACTCAGAGAATTTTTGAAATAGGAATGCCAAAAGAAAAGATCAAACAGAGCTCTCGGGGACGTTAAACAACATACAAGTAAAACGAAACTACTCATTTTTGGGAGTGACTATCCAGTATCTTATTGCCAACATCCCTCGTTACAATATACAATCCTTTAGATAGAAAAATCTCACTTAAATACACAGTTTGAAACACCTTCCTGGACAGTCACATGATTGTTACTATACCGCGGAATCGCTGTTGCAAAAATTGCTGTTTTGTGACCTGAACATGAATTTTGTGCTTGATGCCAACAGTTCCGTCCTGGCGCAAGCGTTTTGTCTTGCGCTGATAAGCAAAGTTAATCCAATTACGTACATGGACGCCACAGACAGAGCAGTGAACTGATTGCATTTGAAATGTTCTGTTTCCAAAATATATGCTCAATATGATTGAAATGTTAAATTATAACAGTAGAAGAAATCCCAAACTTCATGTCAGTGAAAAAATTGTCGTTATTGATGCAGAAATGTCAATACAGGTCACTGGTAAAGCTGGTATTAAAGCCGTTGAAAAATTGTTTGAAAAGGTCCCCAAATTTATTTACTTATGTCAGTTTCTAGGAATGCTTGCAAAATGTTATTTCACGAGTAGTTGAACACTAATATCATTTAAGTATATTCCGAATTTCAGCTTAATCTGTTGTTGCAAACACTTGTGTTTCACCTTGTGCTATCACCAAGGTAACTTTCGACTCGGATTTCTCAGTGCCGGGCAAAACAACACATGGTCTATACCACGGCCAAATTTGGCTGCAACAGTGACTAGCTTGTTATTAGCATTAAATATCATTAGCGTGACTCGGTGGACTTTGCGCAAGTCTCAGTATCGAACAATGCAAGCCTGCCAAAACGGTTGACATTCATTAATTAATAAGTCATGAAGGGGGGGGGGGGGGGTCGTACAAATTTTGCACTGCACACCATAATATGGATAGGAACCTGATTAACATTAGTGAGGCTTGAAAAAATTGACAAATATTGCAAACACCATTTGTTACAGCTTTGAAAAATGGGCATACCCATGAGCCTATTTTTCCAATTTTAATGAAAATTACTGAACATATCGAAACGATTTTTAGCACATACTTGGATCATAATAAGGAAAACAAACTCCGAGAGTGGCATGAAGATACGGTCTTCAAAACAGGAGAAATTGATCTTCAAAGATTTTGCCTGTGAACATCGAAATGTCGGTGTAATGGTATTTTGCGCTTGTTTCATTCAATATAAAGTATTACGTAAGCCTTACAAATCAGCCTTTGCAACCGTAAGGCTGGATAATGTATATTGCATATACACATACTTATTACTATGTATAACTTCACAGGGTTAAATTAATATGCAAGAATAGGTAACAGGATAACAATTACTGCTTGCATTAGTTCGTTCCATGAGCTTGGTACAATGTACCTCCTCCGTGACTAAATTCTGATTCAGTTTTTCCTCCCAAGCTTAATGAATAAGTCCTTATAAAGTTTTTCTGTAAACTTGCAGACAGCACTGAGCTCTATACTGACACTGACATCTATAAGCATACAGCACTCCAGACAGGGCTCTGGAGTGCTCTGAAACGTGCAAAACTAAATCAGGCCCACTTTACTCACAGTTTAGCCAGCAAATTTCTCCAAAAACTCCACTGGGGCAAAGAAAATGTCCTCAGTATTTCACCAACCAAGTTTGCAGACTCAATTCGATTTTTAAAGGAGACATTTCTTCAATATTTTGCACATGAGAGGGAAGTCAAGTGATTTCAAAATGGGGCTAAATACTAGACTGGTACATGTCCTACCATGGTACAACTATTTGAAAAGACTGACCTGTTCATTCAGTGTCAATAGTCTGGTGGCTTGACTATAGAGAAATGTGTAGCAAATTGAGACTAGTTCCCACTTCATGCCACATGTTTCTTAAATTCTTTTGGCATGGTTGATTGATGCAGTACTGAAGGGATTGTTGGACTGGTTGTTTCAGGTGCCAGTCTATTTTCTTGTATTGCATGTTTTCAATACCTGAAGGTTTGGGACTCTCATACACAGTATTGAGAGTCCAAAATTTTCGGACTAACAGCACTCATAGCCCAAGTTACTTGACACTGTGGTCAAAGGGTAATACCATCACCCACAAAATGTACTGGTATATTCAAAATAAAAATTGTATACATGGGTGTAATCTTGCTCATTTACAACAAAATTCGCCCAAAAAATCTGTCATGACTCAAGGAGAGAGGGTTTAAAAGATATGGAGGCCCCCCCCCCCACAACCACCCCTATATTTGAAACTCTGTAATTATTGAACTATGACACTCGGATAATACTTCAGGATACTCCAGCCAAATCATTTCTTTCGTTGCCGTGGTCGCACTTTCTTGTATACAGTCTCTGGCTTGCCTTCGCACTGTGCGGCGTATCTTGCCAACGTGAATAAATAATCACTCAACCTGTACCGAGAAGATAAGAATACATGCAAGATAGGATGGGGAGATCTGAGAGGCGGGGTAATGTGATGGCTTGGGGGAGGGGCTTCACTGAACTAAGGAATTTACAGGCTGCCCATGAACTCACCAGCCTATATCCAAGCGAGTGCACAACATTTTATGTACTACTTTACCTGTTCAAGTATTTCCCCACATTTGGTTCGATTTCATTCTTTATCATCAAAGGAGTAATCCTGGCAAAAATGAGACAAAAAAGTAAAAGAACTTTTCCAATAAAATCATAGAAACAGCTGTGTTTAGTTGGAAAATTCTGAGAGCAATAGTACCAAAAAATGGTGAAATTGATTTAACAATAGAACAAATTTACTATATTTATCCATTTTTCCAAGTGTCCACTTTACATAAAACAATACTCATCATTTAAAGACTTCTACAACAATATCTCTGCTGAGACGTTCATTAAAAAAGAGTGATGTTAAATTTAGTAACAAAGTGTTCCAAAAAAAAGACACATCAAAATGTTAACAAAGATTTTGATTCGGTTTTGTACTCCTGTTTCTAAGATGACAGTAAAAACTTTGAGGCAATTCCGTAAAATCCAACGTACATCCGACCACATGATGCTCATGTACGAGGCGGTTAAGGTGGTGGTACCTTAGTTTGGTCTGTAATTGTTTTCTTCTCAATAGACGTCACATATTAGTGATGTATCACATTCACTTTTCCTACAGCAGTTCATTTAAGTGTCTGACATGTATGTCTGAATTTACGGGACTGCTCTTTGGAACTTCAGAATTGTTTTCACTGTACCTTCTCTCTGCCCTGCGACACACAGATCTTGCAATGTGTAGCGATGCACTGGCCTTACCACCAGACTGCAATGAAAGAAACATATAAGAAACTTGATTGGCTAACACAAAATAGCTTATTTTGATGCAGCAACCAATAGGATGCAAGTAGACATCAATGTGAATACAGGTGTGTCAAAATTGCTACAAGCTACTTCTTCGAATCTTTGTTTTTGGCACTGCATGCCAGCCTTGACTAAACTGCAACAAGCGGGATGCCTGTGAAACACATACAAATTAAAGCTTGTATTTGGCCTTGCCAATTTAACAGGGGGCCTAGGAATCGTGACTCATGATCAGAGGGTCAGGGGTTCGAATCCAGCTGCTGGCCATATGCTGTGTCCTTGGGCAAGCCACTTCACCCACACTTGCCTCTCTCCATCCAGGAGTATAAACAGGTACTGGCATTAGCTGGGGAGTAACCTGCGATGCACTAGCATCCCATCCAGGGGGAATAGAAATACTCTCAATCATTTCATGCCAGTGAAACCGGAGTTCAAATCAAATTAGGTTTTTGCCCTTCACCGACGTATAAACACTGTATACTCAGTGTGTTACCTCCCGAGTGAAAGTTGGAAAAAATCACTCGGGTGAGACTCGAACCCACGACCTCCTGCTTTCTAGTGCAAACGTCTTACCACTCAACCACCGAGCTAATGGGATCGGTTGGCTGGTTCGAATCTGATGTACATAGCAGCGAGTACCGCATTAACTATTCATAAGATGGAATTTTGCGTCGGGGTGATGTAAATCAAATTAGGTTTTGCTCTTCACCGACGTATAAACACTGTATACTCAGTGTGTTACCTCCCGAGTGAAAGTTGGAAAAAATCACCCGGGTGGGACTCGACCCACGACCTCCTGCTTTCTAGTGCAAACGTCTTACCACTCAACCACCGAGCTAACGGGATCGGTTGGCTGGTTCGAATCTGATGTACATAGCAGCGAGTACCGCATTAACTATTCATAAGATGGAATTTTGCGTCGGGGTAATGTAAATCAAAGTAGGTTTTGCCCTTCACCGAGGTATAAACACTGTATACTCAGTATGAAACCGGAGATAAATGCCGGCCTGATGGGCCTTAAATATTGACTTGTGACAGACTTTACTATTTAACACTAGAAAAGGTATGCAAACTAAAACTGCTGTAATACACTAATGTTTACATACAAATTACAAGAGCAACAAACAGATTTGAGAAATAATATTTGGGAAAACAGATTGGTAACACTTACTGGTAGAATGAAGTTTTTCAGCGGAGGTAGCTGGTTTGTGTACTCATCAATCCATGTCTCTAGTGTCTCTACACACGCTCCATCAAATGCCATCACATCTGAAGTGAAAAAAGTTCCACAAAACCTTGATTAATATACAGGCCTACTTACGGCTGGATTGACCTTTAAAAAACAAAACAAAAAATTCACAATTAATTGTCCAAGAAGTTACTCAGCAATTTGTAAAGTTGGTTACGGGTACGCAATCCAATAATCTGCAACCGGTTCCTGACATTAGCGGTCGGGTACTTGGGTACCTGGTTCCGATGCACACCCCTAATCTCAACACTCAGTTAACACAAAGCAAAGCACAAGTGAGAAATTGACTATTTATTATTCATTATTCAAACTTACTGAGCTGATTGGGCGATGCCAGGCTTCTGGGTGTGGCTATGTTGGAGCCAGCATCTAGCAAGAGACACTGAATCTAAACAGGCAAAATAAAAAATTAATATAACAACTTATATGTGACCAGCTCCACAAAAAAGGGTAGTAAGTCGCAACTTGCTACCCTACCCTCAAATTCACTTGCTAAGAAAAATCAGCTTGAAATCAGTCTTGAGCAATATAAACTCTTTTCAGTGCATGACCCATTTGGAAGAAATTCTTGTTGTAGCTCTTGTTTTTTTGCAAAGCAATTTTTTTACTTCATCAAATTTCTGTGCTAAACAGCAATATAAAATTGGGCCCTACGAACTCTACCTACTCAAATGTCCAGCCGTACGTTAGTGGTTGCCCAAATTGTCATTTTTATTATTTGAGTGGTTGCTACCACCAGTGGAGTTTTCCAGAATGTTCATATCCTAGACAAGGAGTTTTTTCTTTGTCCAGAACAAACTCAGACAAACCAACCAACCTCATGAAGCTGTTGATCAAAGGAAAGCTTGCCATCAGCACAGAACTCCCTGGCGAGCCTATCGCAAACAAAGACAGAAAACTGTATTAAAGAGTGCAATTTGTTGTTCATTAACCCTCCTATGTAAAAAAAAATGCAGTCTGTGCCAAGTTGTCCTTGCAGTCAAAATCAATCAAGTGACAGTTTTCAACCCTTAAGAATGCCCAGCTCACATAAAGCAGGATTGACTGCCTTGGACTGCTTAAGTAACTTGATACAGCTATGCTTTGACTCCGGGAGAGTGATAAAACAGCTGTGACCACAACTTGCCTGCTTTGTCTGTTGACCCAGTTTGACTCGTCACAGTGCTTGCTTGACATATGATCTGACTGCTGGTGACTAGCCTTTGTTGAAAGTTTAGCAGGGGAAGTGGAAGTGAATTTTGAGTGTCTATGACTGCTTAAATAGCAGGGGGGCATTTGTTGGACACAAACTAACAATGTAGATTTTACAGATGCGTTCCCCGTGCAATTTTCGAGTTTCACCTCGAAAAATAGAATTGATTTTCCAATCAAGAAATGTAAAGGTTATTCACTTTGAATGAGACATCTAATCAAAAAAATCCACTGATGTTTATCTATTGAATTATTTCTTCACAAAATTAAACAGGCATGAGAATGAATTTCAATGATCAAACAGGAAACTTGTGCAAAAACAGGAAAAAATGATGTGATATCAGGCCAAAAAAATCCCCAAAACAGGCTCAAAATTAATTTTAAAAATTTGGGCAACAAAAAAACAGGAACTCCTGTTTATACAGGCAGAATCTCATACATTAGATGTGTCGTGTGTAGTGCTGTTGCCTAGTGGTCTGGAGCATTGAATTTGTGGTCTGCGGGTAATTCTGCAGGTTGTGGGTTCGAGTCCAGCCCTGGGTTATGATGCGCGTGCCCTTGGTCAAGGCGCATCGTCACTCAATGCTTCTCTCCACCCAGGAGTAAATGGGTACCTGTGAGGGCAGAGTTGGTTACTGTGAGAGGTTGATTACGGCCGAAGAGCGCCGAAATGGCTGCCTACCGGCCGTGTATACTCCCTAAGGAGTTGAGAAGCTTTCAGGAGTGTTTGCCTGTTGAAACAGGGAAAGTAATAATTGTAAAGCGCTTTGATATCCCGTTGCGGCGTAAAAGCACAATATAAATGCCTGCTATTATTATATTATTATTATGCCTGATCAACTTGGCTGCTAGTCAATAATTTGGCTCGTGCAGGGCGGGTCATTTGTGCGTAAAACTGAAATGAAAGCCCTTTCTCAGAGGGTTGTAAATGCCCATCGATGCACTAGCTGTTCTCAAACTCTACATCCAAGCAATTGAGGATGCCAGATCACAAAAACTGCTACCTTATTTCAAGCATTACAAACTTGTGCACAACCTAAATTGTTCAAGTCTGGAGCTTTTACCCGATGGCAGATGAAAGTTCATCAGTGGCTCCTAGAGCTTCAAATATCTCGTCATCTTTTGGCCGACGATCACCGGCAATGGTTACAGAAGTTCCTGGACAAAAAAAATATGAATGAACAGTAATCAAAAAATAATTCTCTTGCAAACAAATTTGATAGAATGCAGGCACGAGGGCCTTTGGAAATATGATATACTAATCAAAATACCAAATAATAGATTGGTTTATGACAAAGTATCGGATGTACCTTGTTTTAAATATAAACGAGGACAACTTTCAGAAAGAGTTTTTCCCACATGAAACGAAGTACCGGTACATGTAAATCATTTGGTCGAGATAAAAACAACCAATTGTTCATCACTGAAGATGACACCAAATGGTCTCGCCAAGTTTGAGCGATAGCCTATACTATTAAAAATAGTTACCTTTGTCTCCAGTTCTTGTGTAGATCTTAGGAAGTTTGACTTCTTGAGTGCTGAACACAGAATTAAAAAAAAAAAAAAGATAGGCAGAATTATAATATTGGGCAGCTCAGTATTATTATTCATTATCATGGTGCAATTGAGTTACACACAAACGGATGCCAAAAAGGATCTGGAAATAACACGAAAACTGGAGAGTTGAACACTTGCGTATCATTTTTTATTTCTTATTGACACGGTGAGTGTTTGTACGCAGTCAGAATGTGAAAATAAATTTGGTAACAAGTGCAGCCATTGTGAGTAAATCCGATAGTGTGGCCTTTATTTATGGAGGTAGTCGAGTATTTTTGTAGGCCACATTATGGGGCTAGGGGCTAGGACTATTAGTGAAAATGGTCCAAAAATATTATTGGTAATGTGTACTTTATGATCCTAGGACCCTACTATCGCCCGACCATCTCCAAATGTTGGCGATCATGTAGTGTAGGGCCCGGTCCTATTAAGAGACCGACCAAACTAGTTGGCGACATTCTCAATGAATAGGTTTGCATAGGTAGAGGGCAGGATTTTGATTTTTTGAGGGAAATTTGGGAGTAAATTGACGATGGCAGCATGGCGACAACACGCAACCCAAAAATAAAGATGGTGACCACCGAGCGATGACTGCGCAATAACCGTAGCCTTGTTGCCATTTTGTGATTGGACAATTAGCGACATTCAGTTGTTCGCAGTTTAATAACTCCAACGCACGTACGTACAATGTAGCATGTAGGCCTACATGTATGTTTTTATCGGCAAAATAAAAATGAATAAATAAAGGGGTTGATTTGTTTTAGAATTAAAATTATAATTAAGAATTTAGATGTATAAAATAATTTTTTTTTCTAAAAAAAGTAATTCTTCCTTACACTTACACTATGCGAACGAGATGTGTCACCAAAAAACCCTGCAAAATCTGGTCTTGTAAGTTGTATACGGTGTACATTATACGTGTAATTATGTACACGCCCACACGTATTGTACATGATACGTATGTCCATTCAACCGAACGTCGTTAATTGTCCAAATCACAAAATGGCAACAAGGCTACGGCTAGTATTATGCAGTGCGCAAAGTACCGTGAGCACGCACGGTGCGCTAAATCGCAAGGCACAAATGTACCGCGCACGAAAATCATGATTTTTACCCGAAGAATTGTTCAAAATTGCAAAACGGGTGTCATTAGAATTGAGAAAACTCTGCTTTTGACTGTAAAGGTGATTTTTGAGCAATACAAAATATTTGTGACTCTATTAATTTGATCAAAACAAAACAGGGGCTAGGGGCCCTACACTACACTTCACGAGACACTTCAGTAGAAGAAACTGCATGAGCGCTAGCCATGACGATCGTGCATAGCTAGGCCTAGCCCCATAAATGTGGCCTATTTACTAGACTGCCTCCGTAAACATAGGCCACACGTCCACATGTACAAAAAACGTGTCGACTTTGCCAAATTTTGATTTTCACATTTAGGCTTAGTTTGTAGGATTTTTTTGCTTTAGAAGCATACTCACCCTCTTCATAGGCTAATCAGAAAGTGCTGCCTTTTTCAGATGTATATTTTTCGTGAAATTTCCAGATTCATTTTTACACGTTTGCGTATCAAAATTTCAACATGAAATTTCACAAAAATTAGACATCTGAAAAAGGCAGCACTTTCTGACTAGCCTATAAAGTGGGTGAGTATGCTTCTAAAGCAAAAAAAATCCTAAAAACTAAGCCTAAATGTGAAAATCAAAATTTGGCAAAGTCGACACGTTTTTTGTACATGTGGACGTGTGGCCTATGTTTACGGAGGCAGTCCAGTAAATAGGCCACATTTATGGGCTAAGCTAGGCCAATTTTTTTTTCTCTAAGTCTAAGTCTCTTAATGTAAACCAACAATCACCTGCAACACATCAGCCTATTCACCGACAGCTCAGCAATAAGTGCAGGACAACAGCATCTTGTTGACGATGGCACTAAGCACAAAAAATGCTTTGAAACTATTCCGACTCTTCGAGCAAGACTTCGGCTAATGGGCGCCGCCATGTTGGAGTGCGACCTCTCGTGCCTCCGTCCGTATAAATAGCACTTGGCGAACGTCGTTTGTCAAGCCTAGTCTTCATTTTGAGTTCGGCTCTTGGCATTTTTTTTGCCCTCGATCTTCTAATTCGCCTCCGATATTGACTCATTCAGTGTATCTGATACAACAGTCTTGTTAGTTTCTCATTGGAGACTCCTCAATTGTGTTTTGTCCACACAAATACAAATTGATTTTATTTATTCCTTCGGACCTATGAGACTTCTCAATGATTCTGGATCAGTGTTGAATCCCGAATCGAATCGAGGCCAAGCTTTGGTAAGTGGCAAAGGGAGGGGGGGGGGGGGGGGGGGGGGGGGGCTGCAGGCGGTGCAAACCTTGGGTATTTGATGATTGAATGTCGTGGCCTTACATATGACGAATCATATTTGTGTGACATCATTACTCATTAGTACAGGTCCTTATTGATTTGGGGACCGGGAAAGTAGAATTTATCAATGAAATCAGCAACAATCCATTTTTTTATGTTGACTGTTATCAATCACCATCAGTCTAAAAACAAATGGCCGGGGGGAAAAAAAACGAGGATTTCCAATAACATCTCATGACAAAGATGCTATTTTGGTCATGATCATTTCTTTTATTAAATATTTCGCAGAAATATACAAAATATATCAGTATTTATATTGGACAAAACAATATATTTGAAAAACAAAATTGGAAGACAATTTGTTTGCGGTGCCACTTTGGTGAATTCCAAAGGTTTTAAAGTACAACACTTGCAAACATAAAGACAAAACTACCAAATTATTATGCAATAGGTTACTTGACTGTAAGTGAATAATAGTCTCAAGCATCCTGTGAAATCATGGCATCTGGTGTGTTGTTATTTTCAAGAAAAGTGGAATTTTTGCTTCAATTTCCAACCATGATAGTCGGCCAACCATCGTTGGAAAAAACTGGGTTTTTTTCCTTCAAATACTGCCTCCTGATACTGACCAAATGTTGTTCGCAATCAGACAAACATCCGTGAACGGGTGCAAGCCAGCTTTAGCATGTTTAGTCTGGTTCCCTGACATGACAATTCCTGAAGTCTTTAAATTGCTCTGTTTCGTCTGAAGTTGAACCAGGGAACCAGACTTCAAAAACGTCATTGTTGGGGTTTTTTTTCCAGCATCTAAGAACACAAAACTTCAAACAAGTCAGTGTTACAATATTTGCTGCAAATACTAAACCCCCAAATCCATCCATTTCTGAAAATTACAGCAAAAGCAAATGTTGGATATTACCTTTAACATCCAAAAATTCAATATCAATTTCCATTCATACAGAAACCGGCATCGTACAAATTACCTCTATGATGCTTATTGCTACTCAAAACAGACATGAGCAAACCAAATTTTGTAGTATATTTTCATTTTGATTTAACCATGAAATCACATTCATTAACAAATTTTAAGGAACATCATTTCCAAAGCAATTAAGTAATTTAAGTAATAAATTTTCCTTTACTCAAAAAAATATATAATTTCAGGAAATACAATGCAAATCTCAATCTGTTGTCAGCAAGTTCTTATACATACTTGAAAACTGTAATTTATTTAGAATGAATTGGTTAAAAACCACATTAAAATAATGGTCTATATCTTTTTTTAATGCCATATTTACTTCTCGTAAACAGACTTAAAATATGGAGCTATTAAAATACTTTTGAATACAATTAAGTTTTCTATCAGCATGTTGTCTCTTTGGTACATAGTGAGGTATATGTAGTAAAAGAATATAATCAATAATTTGAAAATGAGCCAGAAAAATCCCCCCTCCCAAAAATTTGCGAATGCATTATTGTATTCAAAACAAATACCTATTTCACGAGTAGAGTTTCAAAGTCACACACACAATTACATTTTTTATTTGTCCAACTCACAGCATGACCAGCCCCCTCCCCGCCCCCACCCCCACGTGTTGACGAGTTCCACTCAGAAATAAAAAAATTAAAAAATAACAAAACTGCCAAAAACCAAAATCAACTTTTAATGACCCACCCCAATCCCCCTTAAGATCTCGCCTTCAAGTTGTAAACACGAGCAAATTTGATTCAAAGAGTCAGGGGAAAGTGGCAAGGAAATGCCTCAGATTGAACCACATAGCGTCAAAAGCAATGCAGAGAAAGAAGAGATTCTTGAGTACAAGTACTTCAACACATGAAAACAAAAAAGCATCAGTATGAGCACGAGTACGAGTACTTCAACACCATGAACACTGGTGAATCCCCTTGGCAGAGTATTAGGGTTAATATTGCTTTCCAAATCAGGCACTAAGAGGCTACGGCTTCAGTTTTATCATTAGCAACCCACAGTGAATATCCATAGCCACACACAACAATGATCATTTTGGCATGGCTTATGAATAGTTATGAATTGTTTCTTAACTGAGCTCCTAGGTCTACAACTTGGCCAGCGGTCCGTTGGGAAATCGACCCAGCCTGAAAGGTGAAAGGTCGTAGCTGGGCTTGGTCTGCGTAGCCAGTTCACTCAGAACCTTACCCACTACAGGAGCCAGTTTGAAGCCGTGACCTGTGGGGGGGGGGGGGATTTTAAAAAAATACAAATGAAAGAAACTTTCTCATATATTCCTTTTAACAGTTGACTTCCAATGGTTGGCTGGGACACTTTGAATAGCCTTGAACAGAAAACTTTTGAAACAATGGAACTGTTCATTATTTCATACTAGCCAAAATTACATTGTTCTTTTAGGGGGGCTTGGATTTTTTCGGGGTTAAGTTCCATAATCCTAAATGTGAGTTAAAAGTCGAGTACGCCATTTGTCATTGGGGCATTTGTTTTCGTTTGAAGCAACAAAAGTACTCAAAATCCAAAGACAGGTGTTTAACAACTAACCTGATGAAGCGTTAACTCTGTGAATGCTGTATTTTATCGAGAAAACACAATATTCTCGATTCTCGAAATCTCGATTTCAATTCAACAGTTGCTAAGTCATGACACAATCCGAAAAATCTGCATTCGGGACATGATTCTCATTCAGCCGACTGTTGCTACGCGATGTCACACACTGAACCGACCATTCTCACTATTAAACAATAGCAACAGTGGGCCAAGTGCGTCGTGTCAATGTGCTTGCACCCATTCACGGATTTGCCCAATAAGAAACCAACTGCCAACGGAAATTTCCAAAAATGTGTCACTTGACACACCTTTGGGAATGACCTCTGTTTATCTTTTGTGATTTTGACTGATCTTGGAGGGTTAGGGATGTACTAACTAAACTGTCAGTATTCAGAATTTCTTTTTACATTTTCGGTACAAGACAGGCACATCGATAAGCCTAACAACCTTTTTTTTTTAAAACAAACTCAGCAAAAGTCAAAGAACATTGAAGACACGACTCACCTGAAAAGCCACAGCCAATGACTATATTGTGGTAGTTGGGATGGGTGTCCAGGAAGAAACTTTCGTCTGGAGTGAACTGCAAAGGGGGAACAAAATCACCAAAACTTTGTTTTATATACTGTTAGTTGGCTCCTTTCTTTAACCCTAACCGCCCTGAATCCTTCAAAATCCTCTTTGTCAAAGTGGAGGAATTTGGAGGATTGAATTTGGAGGATTTGGAGGCAAAAGTGCGTTACTGATTCCGTAGGATGCACTTTGTCAAGGTCTTGGGCCGGACCTTGTGCTGTTTTTTGCTCAGCCATGCATAAATATAGGCCTGGATTATGCTTGAAATCCTCCATACTACTCCAGGATGTCACTGGCCAAGCCTCAAATCTCACTCTTGTCAAGTTTTCATCCTCAAGTTTTAAAGCTGCTTCATTTTACAATTAAATTTTTAAGTAAAATACCGGATCTTGCCAATTTCTTTCCACATATTTGGTATGGAAAGCAGATTCTGTCACTATTGTTTTTTTCTTTTTTAACTCTAACTCCCTACTGTCTTTTACTAAGTACTGGACCAAGTCCGCCAAAATCCATCAATCACACTGCTTCAAGTGCATGCTTTGCTTCAGGCCTCCAGACCCATGTTCATCATACTCCATCAATATTTAGTCAAACCAGGCCTGCAGGACCAAGTCCCCCAAAATCCACCAAAATCGGGGGGGGGGGGGGGGGGGGATTTTTATGCAGTTGGGGAGGTTAGGGTTAAATGAGAAATTTAAAGAAACGAAGATCTTACTGTGTACATGCAGGTTTCCACGACGACAGGCACATCCTCCAACCCAGGGAAATATTGTCGGGCAAACGATCGGACTTTCTCCATGTTGACGTGACGATCGGCTGCCGGGACGTCTCTCTTGTCTGGGTCGCAAACCTTGTGCTCGGTGTGATCACATAGCTGTGACGACCAATCAAAACACATCTTTTACAGATTCTTAATCGTGATTGGTTGAGACAAGGTGAGGGGTGTATATAGACCCTAATCCTGCTCATTGTAACCAAATGTAACAGGTGTATAAATCCGTGGGAACTTGTTACAATCGGGAGTCAACAGGACAGAGTTGTAATGACTCAAGTCAATGACTCGATTGGAGTCCGACTCGAGTCACAAAGATATTTATGCTTGCATGTTATTGTTTGGCAGGGCCTACAATTACAGTAAACTCCAGCTAAACCGGCACTCTCGGGAGAAATTTGTGACGAATTACGCAAATGCCGATATCTGCTGTAAGTCGTCATTTTGCCGACTTACATGAACGGTATGCACACATGATTCATTGCACTAATTGGCTTCGAGTTACCCTGGATTATCTCCTTAATGCTTGAGTTGAATCCAGCAAATTAATCCTCAAGTTGTATCATCACGTTTGGGGTATTGATAGAGGAGACCACGATACACACATGTATGTACGTGCACAGTAACGAATTAAATGCGTGCGTGGTCCAGTATATACCTTGACTGCAGCAGTAGTCATTCAATAAGACGATCCCCAGAATGGACAAAGCGCATGCGTACAGCCTAGAGGGGGTACTGGTATTGATATGCTCACGATGTATATGCGATGTATGCAGTAGGACACCCATTTTTTTGACACCGATGCATGCAACGATCACGGGCCGTGCAAAACCACTTTTTACTCGACACTTTGCCAACCCCAGAACAGGAAGTCAATCCCAATGCGTGATTTGTTGAATGCCGACTTACACAAAGGATTTTGTAATGCTTTTTATGGAAAGGGGACCGAGAGTAACACGACGACTTGAGCGAAATGGCGACTTATAAAGGCCGACTTAGAAATAAAAAATTCAATGAAAATGCATTATGGTCAATCGGGACTTTAGTCAGACGGCCGACTTGAGCAATTTGACGAGTTGTACGATGTCGGTTTAGCCAGAGATTACTGTAGATGTGGCGTGTCAGATAGGGGTAATTCCGTAAATTCAGACGTACATGTCAGACACTTTTATGAGCTGCTGTTGGGAAAGTGAATGTGATACACCTACTGAGAAGAAAACAATTGCAGACCAAACTAAGGTACACCACTACCTGAACGGCCTTGCACATGTACATCATGTGGTCGGACGTAACATGAATTTTACGGAATTGCCCATAGACAGACTTAAAAACACAACAGAAAGACGGATGGGACTTGAACGAACAAACCACTTCGAGCCCAGGGTACTCCTGACTAGGCAGGGCATAGGTGTGAAGTGTCCGATGGGGAGACTGAACAATAACAAACAAACAAACCGACAGCTATGATGGGACTTGGACAAACAAACCTTGACAGACAGACAGACAGACAGGGTATAAAAACTGATGGGGTTTGGACAACAACAAAAAACTTCACAAGAACCAGTTACTCCTCGCTCGGATGAGTGGGGTATCAGGCTTGAACAACAAGAGACACACAGATGGGTCCAGGACAAACCAACCTTGATAAGTCCTGGGTACTCCTCGCTGGGCAATGCATAGGTATTGTGTCCTTTAGTGTAAGTTATGACAGCGGGCATATCATCAAAGGTACCAGGCTTTTTTGGCTTCCAGTAGCACACATCTAGTCTCCAGGGCTGGGGACAAAACAAAACAATCAACAGGAATTGGTATCTCTTTGTCCTATCCGCTCCGTTCACAAGTACCCCCTCACCGGTAAAGAAAGCACAGTTGGGGGTGACCGACTGACACCATCTTGCCTGACTGCAATTTTGCCGCGACGCGCGGCCGCACCATGTACCACTGCGTGTACATAGTACAAATCCCCTGGTGTACGTGCGTCACACAAGGAACGGTGCGCGTCTACCAGCTAAATGTCCCGCCCATGGGACGTCGTTGCTAGGTAAAAGAGCGCCCTCTTTTGCTAATGAGCCCATAGGTGACCCAAAGTTCTCTGGTGTTTACAACTGTAAACCTGATTGAATAAAATGAAATTTGGCATTGGCAGTTTCCACTCTTCTTACCGGTATTATTTTTTTTCCTTCACAGGTGACATTTTCTGTCCTTACAGGTAACTGCATCTGTCCCCACTGGTACTTTATAGATCTTTACTGGTAACCTTATCTTTCCTCACTGGTAACCCTATTTGTCCTCAATACAACCGTTTCTGTCCTCACTGGTAACCATTTATATACTCACTGGTAACCATTTCTGTCCTCACTGGTAACCACGTCTGTCCTCAGTGGTAACCATTTCTGTCCTCAGTGGTAACCACGTCTGTCCTCAGTGGTAACCATTTCTGTCCTAAGTGGTAACCAATTCTGTCCTCAATGGTAACCACGTCTAACCTCAGTGGTAACCATTTCTGTCCTCACTGGTAACCATTTCTGTCCTCACTGGTAACCATTTCTGTCCTCACTGGTAACCATTTCTGTCCTCACTGGTTACCATTTCTGTCCTCACTGGTAACCATTTCTGTCCTCACAGGTAATCATATCCTCACCATTTTTGTCCTCACTGGTAACCATTTCTGTCCTCATTGGTACTAATTTCTGTCCTCATAGGTAATCATATCCTCACCATTTTTGTCCTCACTGGTAACCATTTTTGTCCTCATTGGTACTCATTTCTGTCCTCACAAATCGGGAATATAAAGGGCGCGTGAGTTGTTCTCGATAACTAAGAAAAAACAACTCTGTAAGGATTCTGTATGTCACTTCATGTTCTTTTAGATTAGATGAAATATTACAGAGCCTGGAATTCTCCTTTAAAGCACACATGTATTGTTAAAGGAAAAACCAAGTTAGTGTTTTACCCAAGGACGTGTGTCCAATGACCAAATGGGCTCAGTGCGCAAACAAGAGAGGGCGCTAATTTACCACATTCTAGAGCCTCGGGACGGGGCCCTTCGCGTACTGGTTCACGCGCATATGGCGCAAAGTACGCACGACTTGTTTCATGCTGAATGTACACAAAGCCATAGCGTCTTCGCGTGAGCATCTCGCGTCATCAGCAATGCCTCTGAATGTCAGGCCAAGCTGTCTCCCCCAACTCTCCCTTCCGTACCATTGAGGGGGTACTTGTGCACGGAGCCCATCTGCCGGATTCAAGCTCACAATATGCAGAATTAACACAGGAAATGACAGACCAAAAAAAAGGCCACAACACTACACAAGACAAGATGGAGGAATTCCACCAGGCGAAGAATCTTTCCTCTCAATTTATTTGGAGGTGGGTCTTTTTCTTTTACCTTGAGAGGCGGGTCTAGACCCAGAGGTCTGAGTATCTTAGAGGCCCAGGGTCCTGGAGTCAAGACGACACTCTTGCATCGGTAGTGGGCTCTGTTGGTCACGATGATCGGAGTTGTTCCTGGCAAGATCTGAAGGACTTGCTCGCTGTCATGTATGGTGCCCCCATAATGCTGAAATTGTTTCTGGTAACAGAGAAGAATACATTGAAGTAAACAAAAATATTCACGCCATGCATAAACCTGAAAAGATTTGGAAGACAGTATGAAGGGGATCGAAGGAGTTACGAGGTGTAAATTAGTACTTCTAACCATCAGGAGTCAATTAGTTTCGGGGTGTTAAAATGGGCCTTAAGTTTGCACATTTCGTCACCGTTTTGACGAGGTGACGAATCTGTACACACAACTGCAAAACCGAGGTTTGGAGAAAATCGCGTTTGAAGTTGGTCAGTTTTTCAAACTGCAACTTTTATATCACATATATAACTGATGCGATAGCCCAGTAATTAAATAGCCACCCCCAAAAAAATCTGTTTTCACAAAATCATGCTAAATTAGGAGACATAAATCACTAAAGATATTCGTCAAAACGGAAATTCTACTTGGTCACAAAAATGTAGCACTGTATGTTTGCACACAGCGCAGTTGCATATAAATTCCATACATTTTAGAATGCAGATTCCTCACTTCCTCAAACACAAATCGAGAAGGCTACATAAATCTTAATATAGCACACATGTAAAATCAATGATACTAATTGACGAATACAGATTCATTCTTCCTTTCGTCAAAACGAAAAACCGAGTGTGTAGCACTTTCCTTACCTTTCCCTTATTTTCCTTCATAGGTACTCTTATGTAACAGTTTTTTGTTGTTGTTTGTATTTTTACTTTTTTGCGTTTACAAATTTGGTTGACAGTAACTGATTTTCGTTTAGAATGAAAAATATAACACTGTTCATGTACAGCCGTTTCTCTTTATTCGTATCTATTAATTGATTTTTTTTTTTAAGTGCGGGGGTTGCTTTTATCTAAGCAGTTTTAAAAAACAATTCTGGCTTGTCCCATACCTGCATGGCTTGCAAGCATTTGTCGGCCAGCAAGACTCCCCCATCATGCTCAATCAGCCCTCGAGTGTCGTCCGAGACTTCAATCCCAGGGTACTTCTGGTTGATCTCCGGCCCCGTCAGCAGGGTGTAGGTGTGGTTGATGGAGTCCAGGGATCGCTGCATGTTATCCAGGCTTTTGTACGGCGGTTCAGCGAAGGCAAGCAAGCCATCTTTCCTACAAGTTCAGGAAAGAACATAGAGCTTTATTAAATTACGAGAGAGCTAACTCTTCATTCTTGCGCGCAGAGAAGCTTTGAAGCCGCTCTGGGCGCTGACATTTTGAATTTATGTGCGTGTTCGTAGAACACAATCAAAAAAGATGGATTGAATTTTAAAAGTGTACTCTAAATGCAACGCACAAGTAGAAGATATGCAAACAACTTAAAGGGAATATACATCATTTGCTTTTGCTGTAATTTTCAGAAATGGATGGAATTGGGGGGTTGGAAATATATAGCGAATATAGTTACACTGACTTTTTTGAGGTTTTGGGTTCGAAAATGCTATAAAAACCAAGAAAAACAATCATTTTCCTGTAGTCTGGTTCCCTGACTCCATTTAAGAAGAAACAGAGCAGTTTACATACATTGGGGAATTGTAAGGTCAGGGAACCAGTCTAGCTGGCTTGTACCCGTTCATAGGTGTGTAATCGATTGCAAACAAGTGCGATGGTCAACTGGGGCCAGTATTTGAAAAAAAGCCAGTTTTTTCCAACGCTGATCGGCCGATCAGCGTTGGAAATTGATACAAAAATACCACTTTTCTTGAAAATGACAGTATACCAGGTGCCATGATTTTACAGGATGCTTTACACTGTCATTCACTAACAGTCCAGCAAGGTATTTCAAAATGATTTGGTAGTTTTATTTTTTGATGTTTACAAATGTTGTATTTTCCCTTTAAGCGCGCCATGAAGCGCGCCATGGCGAAAAGCATCTACAGTGGAGGGACGAAAAAATACCTAGGGAGCTAGGGTTAATGTTGTCCCTGGTAGGTTGGTTCAGGCCCCATCAAAGTCTAAAAAGCAATTGTAGGGCCAGGGGACCTGTAACACGTTGCACTAAATAGTCTGTTCACAGAAATAAAGATATACAATAAAGAATACCAGGCTATGTCCTAAACCAAGTAGGCCAAGGCTATTTGTGGCTAGGGCTCAGTTTTGCTGTCGACATAGCACAGTAAAAAGCCACAGCCACAGACGACAATGCCTATTTTGGACGTGGTCTACTGCTCACAGGCAAGCCTACCTATACAGCCTCGTGTTGGTTTGGTTTTCAAGCTCAGCCCATATCTTGAAGCATTCCGGCATCATCCGGGCAAAGTGTTCCTGTGCGTAGGCATAGCGAGTGATGCGAGAATGGCCGCAGGAACTGCCTCGACTGTGGCCAAGAGGGAACTAAAGTGTAACCAAACAAAATTCATGAACAATAAAAATGTGCCCATTCTGTATAAAGTCTAGTTTAAAAAAAATAATAATAATGGGGCAGGTATTTTGGTTGGGGCGGGCGGGGGCAATCACAAGTATATAATTGGTACATTTTGGTATAGACACATGCCACATGACATAGGCCTACGTACAAAATTCGTCTTCATACACGAACAACCAAAATGGTATTTGGGATATAATTATATTATTTCCCCATGAATTCCAAAGTTTCTAAACAGGGGGCACAGGTCGATGTGGGCAATGGCATAGCCATAGTCCTCGACTCGAGCAGTGGGCCTGGGCCAGCTCGCAACAGACCGTAGCCCCCGTCATTGCCCGTGGCACGGTGACGGTGTTACCCATTTGACCTCGAAAACTAACTTGCTCAAGAAGCAGCGTATCTTGTCCTTTTTTAGCCAGGTGATAGGCTGTAGAAGATCCTTCAATTCCAGCTCCGACTACCACACAATCGTACAACTTGGAACCTTCGTGTAAATCAGACATTTCCACCTTTTTTAAGGAAGACTTTCAGAAAATCCGGACCGCTGTCAAGTGTGTCATCAACGTTCATGCAATCAGCACGCACCGCCGCCGACGTCTAATTATTAAATAATGCAACTCGGCAAAGAAGGCAGGAATCCAACCCTGAATTCGATGGTGCCAGCCTATACTCTTTTGAAGAAGTTTAACTTTTTTTTTACCTGGCACGTTATACGACGTGGCAGCATCATAAAATGAACATTGAGGCGAAAATGAGGAGGGTCGATCCTACTCCGTCTACACCATTCTACACAGTACAAAAACTCATTGTGCATAGATTATACATGTGGAACTAAATACTACAGTTATTAAAATGTGCACAAAAGAAAAAGCTGATTTTTTTAGGACGGTCGAGATCCGAGCAGGTCGCCAATTATATTATAAGGAGGGGGGGGGGGGGGGGGGGGGGGGGGGGGGGGGGGGGGCCTGGTGGGGCCTTGGCGAGCAATTCTCCCCCCCCCCCCCCCCCCCCTCCACGGCAAAAGCCATACATGTGTATTTTTGTATTTTTATGGTAGTGGGCCCCCCTAGTTAGTACTATGCCCCCCTCCCCCCCCCCCCCCCCCCCCCCCCCCCCCCCCCGACGCTCAGGGCTGGCGACCGCATACGTTAAGTTTAGGATCCGAGCCTACCACAGGCATATACCGTGACAGTCATGTTTAGGAAAAAATGGGGGGGGGGGGGGGAAGGGGGGGGGTGAAGACCAGGACAGGAATCCAACCACGACCCTCCATTTAGAAAAGAAAAGGAAAACTTTTCTGCTATAAAATTCGAATCCGACTTAAAGAAAACATAGTTATTCGGGGAAAAAGTCAAAAACTTTCTATTTATTAACTCTAGATCATATCTCGCAAGGCGTTTGAAATTTTAATTTAATGCACCTCGTATATATTTCCTGAGTTGTTGCCCAAAAACGAGTTTATTCCGTATTTCAACATTACAATTTCATCCAGTGATTTGTCATGATGACTGTGTGACAAAATGAGATTTAATTTTATAAGAACCCGTCAAACACTAAAAAAAATAATATCACTGAAACGAGCCTAGTATTTTAACGCGAAAAACTAATACAAACCGAATTTGAATGGAAAAAAGTGGAGCAGCCTCGACTCCATGGGCGCGTGCGCGTTCCTTCACTAACCCCTGGCCGTGATATACACGCAGACGATGCTACTGCGCGCGCATTTCGAAAATTGCACGCCGGGCGCGCCCATAATGCATGTAATGCGCTCGCGTGCTTTGCACGTCCGCGCAAAACTGCGCGATGCATGTACGATATGGATTATGGCAGCCTCGTTTTTCGCTAAAAAGGACCCTGTATCTATCTGCGGTTGTAAAGGGACGAAAGGGGTATGTACCTTTAATACAAATCTTTGCTAAATAACGCAACGTCCAAACCTTATGTTTGAAAGCATTCATTCTTCAAAAACACAAAAGATGGCGTCGGCGCGTAAAACCATACCATACACAGACCTATATTGTTGATGTACCCTAACGTGGCGCGGCCCCTAACGTGGCGCACTTTTATTTTTCGCCTGTAGCGCCTAGCTAGAGCAAAAGTTTTAACTGAAATTTCACAGAAAGTGAAATTTCATCAAGTTCTAAACACTCCCGTTCATAAATCGCGAGTTTATTTACCCGCTACAAAGTTAAAAGAAAAACATATTTTGGCGTGATTTTCCGATTTTATTTTCAAGTGCAAAGTGAACCCTTTGAAAATGCCCCGAAAAATAAGAAAATAATTTTCTGACAAACATCTGGCTGGGTTTGTAAGTAAAGATAAAAATGATTTATCAGAATTTATCAAGTTTACAGAAATTCTTAAATGTTAATTTGGAATTTTCTGAGATTTATTCAAGTGCGCCACGTTAGGGAACACTCCGCCAATTTGTGCCCAATTTCCGGACGCGACCGTTTTTGCATTTCGGATTAAATTTTAACCGAAATTGTTCACAGAGGTTAAATAACAAGCGTTAATAAGGTAAAAGTACCAGTATTTCACTGCATGAATTTGAAGTTTATCAACAGAGGTTTGGCAACACTACACGAGGAAAGTTGGGTAAGCTTCGAAGTGCGCCACGTTAGGGAACACGACTGGATAGGACACAGACTGGATAGGACATGTGCGTCCGAACAGCGTCCGTGCTCGTGATTTTTGAAAAGGGTAAAGAACACAATTTCGCATTCGAGTTGGGTACACTTTCGAACGGAGGATTAAAAATGAAGTTGGGTTTTCTTCAGTGTTCAATCAAACAAAGAACTTCAGCAAAGCCATAGCAAAAACCACCAGCTGCAGGACGATATCGAGACGGACGAAAATGGAGAACTTCACGGAGGGATGGAATTGGATGTATCATCCATTGAATGGAACATGCGATGTGATAGGCAACTGAACGGTTTGACTTAATCAATTCGTACGATGTGGAACTGTTAACATTGATTGATTATGTTTTTGGAAAGAAGCTGTGGAGTTCAATGCAAGTATCTTTATGAGCTCCCAAGATGACTGTAACATTATTGACAGTTTGTATGGTGAAGAAAGCAATGAGTACTTTTACGGCTTGAAATTATATTGTGCACGCCATTATATAAGATTACTAGCTATAGCCAAGCATATACACCTTCATTTTCGCTCACAAAAACGATTCCCATTACACTTACAATTTCAGAAGTATAGCTAAACATTTAATTATCAACAAGACCGTGCGAAGCTTGAATTATTCTTGAGTTACTTCGGAAACCTAATTGTTTATTTTTGTTCAATAGTGCAACATCCGCACCAATATTCTTCTATTAAAAAGAGGGCGCGCCACATAAAAAGTGGTCTCGATAATATTATCCACCACCAAACTCGTTTGGGGGGCAACAACTCCACAAATACAACATGTTTTAAATTGAATATTCGTCTAGTGATTTATCAATATGTTTTACATTACGAAAATTAATTTCATAAGAAACCGTCAAACAATGAAGCAGTATTGACCGTAACAATACAGTGTTTTATTAAGCGCGACCAATGCAATCCGAATGAAAATCAATGTGTATTTTTCGCGTGTAAAACGATCATATTATTTTTATCGTTGGACTGTTTCTCATGATATTCAATACACCTCTGTTACACATCGTGGAAATGAATTGCAAGAAATTTCAGTTTAATACATTTTGTATTTCTTGAGTTATTCATCGGAAACTGAGTTGTTAGTTTTGTTCAATAGTGCAGCATCCGCACTAATATCTTTATTTAGTTAATAGACGGCGCGCCACATAAATAGTGGTCTCGATAATTATCCACCACCAAACTCGTTTGGGGGGCAACAACTCCAGAAATACAAGATGTTTTGTATTGAATTTTTGTGTGGTGATTTGTCCATATGTTTAACATTGCGAAATTTAATTTCATGACAAACCGTCAAAAAATGAAGCAATATTGACCGTAACAATACAGTGTTATCAGCCATTCCATGGTGACTCGCGTGACATTTGAACAAAATGTAAAGTTTTAATGCATTACTGTTGTTAACCTGGCATTTATTCAACTCAAATTAGCATGTATTTGAGTCAGGGCATTGTGAATGTATGGTTTAGTCTTTATATGATTACTTTAAAATCGCTATTTTTTCATGTATCACAGTTTCTTTGACGTGACTCGCGTGACAGGATAGAAAAAGGGATTTTTGACATCCCTTGATTCAAATAGCTTTTCCTATGGATCTACCAGTGTTCTAAAAATTATTCTTACTGAACTTAGAACTGAATACCCTCGCCCAATACATGCATAAGTTGTATTGTGCCAAATATCCCTTGTTATAAGAAATGGCCTGAAGAAAATGTGACTCGCGTGACACAAATGCGTGACTCGCGTGACACAGTAGCTTTTCACTTTCACATTATAACTGTAATTTTAGAATAACAAATCAAATCATAATATTATATTAATAAAAATGATTTACCTGTGAATACCTTATGAAAGAGTGTGAAAACTGCTATTTATCCCTTTACTTTGGCAAATGTTTGGGGTGGAAATCTGGTTTAAACACAATATCCTTAACAACGACATGGACAGAAAAAAATGTTTCGGAATTTAAGTTACGAAGTGATGTCATCAATCCACGGGTGATTATTTAAGGAAAACAGTTGTAATTCTTGGTCATGTAGAGTCACAGTTTCCTTAAAAGGTAAGAGCTGCAATTAATGATGCAGTTGTATAGGAATGTATACAGTACAGTCGAATCTCGTTTGTACAAACTCTGTGAATACAAAATTCTGGTTATAACAAACATAAAGCCTTAGTCCCAACTGTGCATTTATGTGCACAATGAATGGGACTGATGTTCCTCTTAGTACAAAATTCAAACAATTTGGCTAGGTCCGAACTAGTTTGAATTAACGAGACGCGACTGTATATACCGGTACATTTGTAAAAAACTGATTCAATTTCTTGTTTCATAAATGATGCTTTTAAAAACTTAATTTGAATTCTATAATTTAATATGGCATTGTTTTTTTGTATTACATGTAAATGAAACATTCTTGGCTTGTGACCAGGCGTGGATCCAGAGGGGGTGTTTTGGGGGTCAAACAACCCCCCCCCCCCAGCTCTGTCAAACATTATACTGGTCTAATGTCTGCCCATTCAAAATACGGTACACCATTCTGTAATGTGTTAATAATCGTCAAATTTGAACAGCGCCCCCGATTGAAATTGGTACCAGCCCCCCCCCACCCCCACCAACCCCCCACCCCCCCCCCCCCCCCCCCCAGTTTTTGATTTTACGGAGGCCAAGTATCTGGAGAAAAAAACGTGTCCATTTTCAGATTTTTGGGCTGATGAAACCCCCCCCCCCCCCTGCGAAAATTCCTGGATCCGCCCCTGGTGACTCGCGTGACATACATCATGTGTGACTCGCATGACATTCTTGAGATAGTTTTTTCTACAAGGAATGTAGAGCAAATAAGAATATTCATACTTTTATTGATAGACCACCACTATTTCATTTACAAATATCAAACACTAGCTGAATCCCTCTCTAGTTATTAAGTAATCTAAAAA